ATGTCGTGGGTCTTTCCCCTGTTTCCTAATTGGAATTACAAGAGAATGTTTCCAGTTCTTTGGTACTTGTCCTTCATCAAAAATTTTATTGTACAGTTCAAGTATCATCTTTTTCCCACTAATGTCTAATTGCTTGAGCATTTCATAGTGGATGTCATCTGGTCCGGGTGAAGAGTCTTTACAGTTCAAGAGTGCTTGCTCAAGTTCTAGTAATGAGATTTCTTCGTTGTAACAGTTATTGTCATTGTCTTGGGGAATATTGTGTCGTCTGCTTTGGTTCGTATTGTCATTGTATGTTTCCTTTAGTGAGTCTTTAATTATATTCGATATCAGTGTCTGGTCATGCACTTGTTGTCCATTTTGGTCAGTTATTGTCTTAATAACTGTACTTTTGGACTTACCATTTAATGTTCTTACTTTGTCAAAAACTTCCTTTGATGATGCTTTATGATTGATTGAGGATGTGAACTGATTCCATGATTGCTTTTTGTGTTTTTCTAGCATTTCATGTATTTCCGTAGAAAGTCTGCTGATCTTGTCTTTTGTGTCTGAGGCAAGCGTTCTTTTGAACTCTCGAATAGCTTTCTTCCTTTCAATGATTTTGTTTTTAATATCTTCATTCCAGTAAGGCAGTTTTCTCCTTCCTTGAAAACTCTTGGATACAGGCATTGCAATTTTGGCAGCTTCTAGGATGCGGTTTGTAATCTCTTTTGTCAGTATATCTATATTAGTTCTGTCTAGGTCTTGGAAGTTGATATTTTGTCTGTATTTTGTCCAGTCAGCTTTTTTAATATTGAAATTTTGTCGTCGTGTTATGTCTTGTGTGTACTGATTGAATGTAAGTAGAATAGGAAAGTGATCGCTCCCATGTACGTCGTCCAGTACAGTCCATTCAAATTCGTCGGTTAAGTTTTCCGTGCAAACTGTCACGTCAATTGCTGTAAGTCTATTATTCGTACTAGCTATGTGTGTCGGTAAATTCTCGTTCTTTATAACTAATGAATGTTCGTCAATTAATTCTTCGATAGTCTTTCCTCTTCCATCCGTCTTGTGTGATCCCCAATTTGCACTATGTGCATTGAAGTCACCTGTCAGAATGAAATTGGGCCCTAACTGTCTTATTAAATGGTCTAGTTTGTCTTGTATGTCCGTTATTCTAAGTCCGTGATCTAAATATATATTACAAAGTACAAAGTTCGTTGGGTAAGAAGTCTGAATTGCAATAGCTTGTAAAGTTGTGTCTAAGTCTATTAATTCTGTATAAACATTTTTATCTGCGAGAATCATAACTCCTCCACTAGCTATATTACCACTACTACAATCTTTAATTTTGTTATATATTTTGTAATTCTTAAAATTAACGTCTGTCTTAAGCTTTGTTTCCTGTAACGAGATAAATACTGGATTAAATTCATTACTTATCAGTTCTAACTCGTTTCGATTGACGTTGAAGCCTCGAATATTCCAGTTAAGTATTGTTGGGGTTCTGGCCATCATGTGACGTGGATGCGTTTTCTGCTTTACTCTCTGTTTCCATTGCTGGAGATGTCACACCTTCCATTGATTCAGATTGTTCCTCAGTTTCATTCAAGTCACTGTAATCAATTACTGTTCGTTGCCGTTTGGTTCCAGATTTATGGAATTCGCAGTGAGGACATTGACATTGCTTATTGTTTGTGGAAGTTGTTGAGCTGTTGTTTGCTGTGATTTGTGCGTATGTTTTTCGTTGAATGTTTGAGCGCTTGACAGCCTCAGAAAAAGATACTTTTTGTGTTACTTTAATTGTTTGGATTTCAACTTGCCTTTTCAGTTCGCTGCACGTTCGGTTGTAGCTGTTATGATCATTCGATCCACAGTTCATACATTTTTGTTGTCTAGTGCATTTCTCATCTCTAGTTTGGATGTGCTTGTCTTCACAGCAGTTGTAGCATTTTGGACTACTTTGGTTTGGACACATTTTTGAGATGTGACCAAATTTATGGCATGTAAAGCATCTCATTGGTGCTGGAATATAAGGACGTACCTTCAGTTTAAGACAACCAATTGTCAGGTATTCTGGTGGCTCATTTATGCCGAAAGTTACAAATGCAAGTCCTGACTTGACGCGCTCATTTCCCACGTTTTTCATGTGAAAATCGATTTTTACAACTTATTGGGGCTTCAAATATTCTAAGAGTGAGTCTTCATCTTCATATTTAAGCTCATAAGCACTCACTACTGCTCTGCACGAATTCAATGTTCTATGTTCTGTGACTTCAACGTTTGCTTGTGTAATTCTTGTTAAAGTGATTAAACTTTTTGCCTGTTTGATGTTTTCTGTTTTGATAAGAATATCTCCGCTTTTCAGTGTTCTGCACGTAAGTTTCCCGTTGTTGGTGACTGTTTTGAATGCCATTTCCAGCATGATTGGTGACATGTCTTTCATTGTGAGTCCAATGTCTGTTCTGTGTACAATCAAATACTTCTCACCATCAATTTCATTTGAAAGCTTTTTATTAGTGTCGTACTGCAAATTGTTTGTGATTTTCATGTTGCTTGTTCGTTTTGGACTGCTTGGTTGTTCCTGCATTTCATTAATTTTAATCTGTTTGACGATAACTTCTTTTTTCGCTGCTGGAATCGTATTTTTCCTCTTTCCGGCTCTCTTCGGCATTGTGAAGCTTCCGGCTGTGCCGGGGATCCGCCCTATCAATGTTTTTGCTATTTTTTCTTATTGAGTTTTTACTTTTTTGACACTAATTCACTGTTTAACTGTTTACTAATTAATGACTTTATTCAACTAACTTGTTATTTATGTAATAATTGTACTTTTACTGCGTTAATGTTAGATTTAGGCAGCTAAATTGTTTAATTAATCACAGACAATTTATTTGTTTACTTTACTCGCGGGGCTTTTCGTATGTATTTCTGGTTTTTATCATAGTAGGCTTTTTTCGAAAAGATATCTATTTTATATCTTTATGAGCATTCTTTATCATTTTTAAAAACTAGATATGTTTTAAAATTCAATTTAAAGCATTTTTGGTTTTGATCATAGTAGGCTATTTTCGAAAAGATATCTATTTATATCTATATTAGCATTCTTTATCATTTATAAAACCTAGATATGTTTTAAAATGCAATTCAAAGTATTTCTGGTTTTGATCATAGGAGGCTATTTTCGAAAAGATATCTATTTCATATCTATATTAGCATTCTTTATCATTTATAATACCTAGATATGTTTTAAAATGCAATTAAAAGCATTTTTGGTTTTGTTCATAGTAGACTTTTTTCAAAAAAATATCGATTTTATATCTATATTAGCATTCTTTATCATTTATAATACCCAGATATGTTTTAAAATGCAATTTAAAGCATTTCTGGTTTTGATCATAGTAGGCTTTTTTCGAAAAGATATCTATTTTATATCTTTATGAGCATTCTTTATCATTTTTAATACCTAGATATGTTTTAAACTTCAATTTAAAGCATTTTTGGTTATGATCATAGAAGGCTATTTTCGAAAAGATATCTATTTTATATCTTTATGAGCATTCTTTATCATTTTAAATACCTAGATATGTTTTAAAATTCAATTTAAAGCATTTTTGGTTTTGATCATAGTAGGCTATTTTCGAAAAGATATCTATTTTATATCTGTATGAGCATTCTTTATCATTTATAAAACCTAGATATGTTTTAAACTTCAATTTAAAGCATTTTTGGTTATGATCATAGAAGGCTATTTTCGAAAAGATATCTATTTTATATCTTTATAAGCATTCTTTATCATTTATAAAACCTAGATATGTTTTAAAATGTAATTTAAAGCATTTCTGGTTTGATCATAGTAGGCTATTTTCGAAAAGATATCTATTTTATATCTTTATGAGCATTCTTTATCATTTATAAAACCTAGATATGTTTTAAAATGCAATTTAAAGCATTTTTGGTTTTGATCATAGTAGACTTTTTTCAAAAAAATATCGATTTTATATCTATATTAGCATTCTTTATCATTTATAATACCCAGATATGTTTTAAAATGCAATTTAAAGCATTTCTGGTTTTGATCATAGTAGGCTATTTTCGAAAAGATATCTATTTTATATCTTTATTGGCATTCTTTATCATTTATAAAACCTAGATATGTTTTAAAATTCAATTAAAAGCATTTTTGGTTATGATCATAGTAGGCTATTTTCGAAAAGATATCTATTTTATATCTTTATTGGCATTCTTTATTGTTTATAAAACCAAGATATGTTTTAAAATGTAATTTAAAGCATTTCTGGTTTGATCATAGTAGGCTATTTTCGAAAAGATATCTATTTTATATCTTTATGAGCATTCTTTATCATTTATAAAACCTAGATATGTTTTAAAATTCAATTTAAAGCATTTTTGGTTTTGATCATAGTAGACTTTTTTCAAAAAAATATCGATTTTATATCTATATTAGCATTCTTTATCATTTATAATACCCAGATATGTTTTAAAATGCAATTTAAAGCATTTCTGGTTTTGATCATAGAAGGCTATTTTCGAAAAGATATCTATTTTATATCTTTATGAGCATTCTTTATCATTTATAAAACCTAGATATGTTTTAAAATTCAATTAAAAGCATTTTTGGTTATGATCATAGTAGGCTATTTTCGAAAAGATATCTATTTTATATCTTTATTGGCATTCTTTATTGTTTATAAAACCAAGATATGTTTTAAAATGTAATTTAAAGCATTTCTGGTTTGATCATAGTAGGCTATTTTCGAATAGATATCTATTTTATATCTTTATGAGCATTCTTTATCATTTATAATACCTAGATATGTTTTTTATTATCAATCTGACTCCACAAAAGATTGAATCAAAAAAGTTCATGAAAAGCTTTTCAGTAAAAATTTCTTAGCAATTTTGGAAAACAGAATTCTTTTGCGCATAATCCTGGAATATTGACTTCGACGACTTCCACTTTTCCATTGTGTATAAAAGATTTTGTAAGCTACCATATTCTTTTCATCACATCGAGAAAAATAAATTAAGCTTAGAATGTACAAATAAATAAGTGAATAATCGCTTTTATCGGAATTAAACCAAAAAGTATTTCCAGTTTTTATTGAAAATAAAGTGATGTCTTAAAAAAGGTCACGAAAAAGTACGCTCAAAAACATATTGCGTTTCAGTAAAAAAAAGTTACTTAAAATTTTTTAAGTATTTAAGCATTGATGCTAATCAAAATATATTCCTCTAGATTTTAGATCTATAAATTAACTTTGAAAAAGTAACTCAATATGATATCGGATAAGGAAACGTCAATTGACGTGACCTTGCTCACAGAAACAGGTAAGAAAATCATATTACGTCCCATTACGTCATAGTGCTTCCTAAAAAGTACTGTGATGGAGTGTGTGCATATAAAAAAACGAACTCGAGAATAAACTTCTGTTTCCATTCACCTTTTTTGTTGGTGAACATTGCACAACTTTAACAATAATTGACTATTAAGAAATGTATCAACTCAAAAGTCCTTAGTATCCAATTCCAAAATGCTTATATGATCTCAATTACTTTACAGAAAAGTAAACCTTTCCGTTAAATTGAAAAATAATATTTACTTAGGCTTTTTAATTTTGCGTCTTAAATGCCGATGGATTTTCTGAATTTTGTATTCCCACAATAAGAATTTTCTGATCAGTATTGAGAAAAAGATACATTATAGAAGCTCATTCTTACAGTCTTTTTGTTGTTGCACTCATTTTCTACAGTGAATGAAAATGTTCAAGGCTGATTCAAAACACCTACACTAAATTGAAGATATTTCTAATTTGGTTTATACTATACTTTCCTTAATTAAACTTACAGTCGTTCCGGCAATTTTGGGATTGACTTTAGCTGCAATACTCGCTGTAGCCGCATGTTTTTGCGCTCGAAAAATAAGACGTCAACAGAAAAAATCATATCCAGAATCACTTCAATCAAATACGATTCCTTTCCAAACGCCACCACGTCCTACAAAAGCTATAAGATCTCCAAATGGCTCACAAACACACTATTTGAAGAAATCGCCTTCACCGACGTCTGCAAAGGCTCCAGAAATCACATCGTCCACTGCTACTCAGCAAGCACCAATCAAATACTCTGAAGAGAATGAATTGACCAAAAACACAGCATTAAATACCGAAGTCATTAAATCTCCGGATACTGAACAACCTCATGATGAGTTTGGAAAATTGGGAACGTTGGTATTTAAATTGCGTTACATTAATGATCGTAATGCTTTAGTTGTATCCGTTGTGAGATGTCGAGGTCTCCCATCACGAAATGTCAATGCAATGAACACAAGTGTCACATCGACAGATTCTAATAATGTAGGTCAATTGCAAATGAATGGAAAAATTCAAACTACAACCGCAGTAGACCCTTATGTTAAGCTGCAGTTATTACCAGAAAAACAGCACAAAGTCAAAACAAGGTGACATAAAAAAAATTATTATTAAAATATGCTCATGAGTTCTAACAATCTACTCTTATTTTTTACTTTCTTCTTAAAAAGGGTTGTAAGAAACACACGAAATCCAGTTTATGATGAGGATTTTACCTTTTATGGGCTCACAGCTGATGAGCTAAAATCAATGTCTTTACATTTTGTTATACTAAGTTTTGACAGATATTCTCGTGACGATGTAATCGGTGAGGTAATATGTCCAGTAAATACGATCGAATTTCAACAAATTGAGAATCAGCAAGTTGCTTACAGTCGCGAAATCCAGCCAAGAAGTCTGAAGGTACGAGACTCTTTTTTTATTGGTTTAATTTGTTGGCGCGTGACAGAATTTTTCTTATATTTTCATTAAAGGGAACCGTTAAAGGTAGAGGAGAAATTTTGGTTTCATTATGCTGGCAACCTGCAGGTATTTACATTCTGAAATTATTTCTTATTCACTAAATATTTGCCAATGATTTTAATACTGAATTTTTTTTTTATCATTCAAAGCTTGCCGTTTGACGGTTGTTTTATTGAAAGCTCGAAACCTTCCTCGCATGGATGTAACTGGTTTAGCTGATCCTTATGTAAAGCTGTATATGATTTACAATGTAATATAATTTCTTTTTAAGCTCCTAAATAATTATTATTAATGGAAATTTGTTATGCAGGGTCAACGAATTGCTAAGAAGAAAACTCATGTAAAAAAGAGAACTTTAAGTCCAGTGTTTAATGAGAGCTTTGCATTTGACATTCCATTTAATGAGGCTGGTGCTGGGCAAACACTTGAAGGTGTTTCTTTAGAACTGATGGTAATTATCTATCATAATTTATGATTGATTGATTCTAAAGAATTTTCTATACTTTAAACAGTTACTTGACTGGGACCGTGTTACTAAAAATGAAGGTGATGTTATACTACTTTATTATTATTTTTTATTTTCTAATCTCTAAAATCTTTTTATAGTAATAGGAAGATTGGATTTGGGACCTAGTTCAACTGGTTCTGCTTTGAATCATTGGAAGGAAGTGTGCAATTCTCCTCGCAGACAGATTGCAGAGTGGCATAAATTGCGCGAGTAAATTAACTATTACTATTATTAATGTAGAAAATTTCAGCTACAAGCTTTTTATAGTAGCTTGATGGTATTTTAAACTATAACCAGCTAAAAACATGAAAATATGGAAATCATTTAATGACTATTATTATTGGACACTTTTGAAGATATAAAATTATTATTGGAAGTTAATCATAATCACATGTAATCCGTTTTAATTACTTTTATGTCAAGATCTTAGTTTTCTTCTACCCTCACAATTTGTTAAAATGTATGATGTCAGTAAGGATTTGAATTTCAGGCAGTCACATGTTCAACATAAAGTTGTGTTGCATTTATTTTTTCAGCATGCACAGATTTCCAGTTGACAGACTAGATCATATAAAATGATGATGAATATGTTTTTGAACCTGTTCATAAATTCTAACTTTAATGTTCATGACTTGCTCATGTTTACATCAAATTTTTAATTTGTGCCAATCTAATAATGAAAAATTGCATTTCGGTGCATAAAGATCTTTAATTTTACTTGGAACCTTTTGATAGCTTAATTAGAAAAAAATTACTTTATCAAATTTTTTTTTTTTCTAATATTCAATATTTTTTTTTATTGAATAGAGTTGAATAGTTCGTTAATAAGGATACAAAAATATTTCAGCTTAATTCTTCCACTTTATGGATTACATAAATTAATTATTCTATTATTACTCTTATGCTATTAAAATTATTTAAATTCGACAACATGTCTTTATCTAAAAGATCCTTTGTTAAAATGTAAATTGCCTCATCATTCTCATGTACCTCATAAACATTCTCTCTCTTCCAGATACTCTTATAAGACATTATAATTCTTAATGCGCGTTTCTTTAAGTCTCTATTACCATATTCCATTAAGAATCGCGAGATCGCGTTGTAGCTAATTGTCTCATCCAAGGAAAGTATCACTTTATCGTGCAGCTTACGGTCATGGTGAATGTACTTTAACCAAATTCCATCTATTCCATTTGTTATCCATTCATCCGCTTCCATTTCTAGCAGAATTTCTAATATCCTTTCAGTTGGAAATACTTTGGAATATGAGTTCGCTGCTTCGAACGAGATAACTCTCGATAATTCCTTTACGACAGACTTAAGTTCTTCTGGAACTTTTACCAGATTTACTCCTATAGGTCTTCTCGATTCTTCGATCGTTAACCAGTACCCTCTCACCATAATCGCGTCGCCTCGCGCCATAAATGCTTTATATTCTCCAGTGTTTCTACATCCAATCACCAAGTTCCCAATATTTCTCGATGAACGACTTCTGTGCACATTAGTAATAAAATTTAATTTATATTCTTTTTGTAGCTTAATTATTATGTCGTATAACTTGAGTCTTTTTGGGATATCCGAAATCCTAATAAAATACGTTTCCTTCATTGATTGATTTGTTGTTAATAGCTTGGCTACATTGATTGCAGAGACAGTCATTAACTCCCGTACTGAATTTTGATCAAGATGTGCTTCCATTTTAACCTTGTCTCAACTTTACACTAGACTTCTACTTCCAATGACAATTATCGGTTCCTTACGTTTTAAATGATGCTTTCGAAGATAATAAGAATGAAATTAATACAATTCTTACATGATTGGTTTATGCAACAACAGATCGTACAATTACTGGCGAAGCTCGTGATGCTGTTGTAGAATTATTGATCAGAAATGCTCGTTATCAAACACTTAATTGGGCTGAACTTCTTATTGAGCAAAAGGGTCTTTATCGTTTGATGGAAATTTGTAGTGAATTAGAGGAATATAAATATGAGAGTGCAATGCCAATAACTCAACCGTCTAGAATCGTCGTTTCCCTTTGTTTAGCAAGAATTTATGAAAACATGTACTATGATGAAGCTCGACAACGGTTCATTGCTCACATTAATGAATTTATAATATACAGTACCGTTCAAAACTGTTTCCATGTTTCATAAAAAATTTCTTTCCAACATATTTCTTATAAAACGTAATATTTTCGCAACATGTTATATATCGTTTTAAAGCTTGTTTAATAAGCTATTTAAAAACGATAAGCAACTTTGCAAAATATATAATTAAAGTAGATTTTTTGCTTAAAATATGCACTGTCACATGGAAACACCTTTGAGCTAATAATTGTTTTTGCAAATTTTGATGCATAGCAGAACTAATTGATTAAAGTTTGTTTATTATAGTAAAAAGCAAGTAAAATATTCGATAAAAGCACATAAATTAAGTTGCTAGACATAGTTAAAATATTTATATAAGAATGTCAAATCACTTGATAAATTTTCACATAATTTTGCAAAAAATTACTGAATTAAAGCCAAATGTTGTGATGTTTGCATCTATACAAATGTATTTTAGCTTATTAAATCTGAAAAACAGTTTTTAATTGTAAATAGAAGCATTTGAAAGCAAAAAAATTGATAAGATTTCATGGAAACACTTAAATTTTCTTACTTGCAAACACAAATATTCAAAAAATTTTATTACTTCCTCCACTTCAAACAACTTTAATCGCTTTTTCTGATAGATTTTATGTTAACAAAGAAAACCATATATGATTTATGTAGTCATTGTGAGAGTAAAAGGATTTTTTTTACAATTTTGTTGGTCAATGACAGCAATATTCAAAATTTTTCACAAGCATTTACAAAAATTCAATTTTTTTACGTAAATATCGACTTAAGATAGTCAAATATGACTATTTATTAATATGAATTGGATTTTTAAATAATTTTAATCATTTTGCGTTGTCTTAAGTCGATATTTACGTAAAAAATTGAATGTTTATAAATGCTTATAAATTTTTTGAATATGTCTGTCATTGACCAACAAAATTGTAAAAAAAATCCTTTTACTCTCACAATGACTACATAGATCATATATGGTTTTCTTTGTTAACATAAAATCTATCAGAAAAAGCGATTAAAGTTGTTTGAAGTGGAGGAAGTAATAAAAAATTTTGAATATTTGTGTTTGCAAGTAAGAAAATTTAAGTGTTTCCATGAAATCTTATCAATTTTTTTGCTTTCAAATGCTTCTATTTACAATTAAAAACTGTTTCTCAGATTTAATAAGCTAAAATACATTTGTATAGATGCAAACATCACAACATTTGGCTTTAATTCAGTAATTTTTTGCAAAATTATGTGAAAATTTATCAAGTGATTTGACATTCTTATATAAATATTTTAACTATGTCTAGCAACTTAATTTATGTGCTTTTATCGAATATTTTACTTGCTTTTTACTATAATAAACAAACTTTAATCAATTAGTTCTGCTATGCATCAAAATTTGCAAAAACAATTATTAGCTCAAAAGTGTTTCCATGTGACAGTGCATATTTTAAGCAAAAAATCTACTTTAATTAAATATTTTGCAAAGTTGCTTCTCATTTTTAAATAGCTTATTAAACAAGCTTTAAAACGATAAATAACATGTTGGGAAAATATTACGTTTTATAAGAAATATGTTGGAAAGAAAAATTTTCATGAAACATGGAAACAGTTTTGAACGGTACTCTATATAATAATAATATTCGTAATTTTGCATCTGAAGACCTTTACCTAATCATCCTCATCCAGACTGTAGTGCACTTGAGAACTTTGAAGCACTTTGTAATTTAGCTCAAATGAATTATTCAGTTCGTAATCGCATAATGAAAGAGAAAGGAATGTCACGTATTGAAATGTTCTTAATGAAAGATCACATTTTGTTGACTAGAGCTGCTTCACAAGTAATTTGCAACTTTGTTTTGAATGAGGATTATATAAAATGGCGTTAGGCCACAACCAAAACAAAATTATTGGTGAGTGACGCTTTAAATCTTAAATAACTCCGAAACCACAAAAGTGACAAATTTCAAAGTTATTTTATCCTGTACGAAAAAAAAACAATGTCCATCTTTTGATTTACAACTCACTTAATAAAATTAAGCAGTTGCTTTAGAAAATCACTTTAATTAAGCGTCACTCACGAATAGTTTTTGAGAATTTTGCCATAACTTTGTCAGTTTTCATTGATATATCTTCAAATGTATTTTTTTAGAACAGAAATTTTATTCTCTTTTGTTTGGCTCCAAAAAAAGGAATAAATTGTCCCCGAAACATGCTTATATGAACAAAATTAAGTTTAAAAAAAATTTAACGGTTTTAAATTTTTTGAATTTTTTCTGTCGTGAGTTGTTTGTTTACAAACAAACATTGAAATAAAATTTAAAAAGTCATGAAAATATCACTCAATAATGATGTTTAAGCTTTTAAAATTGGCAGAATAGCTAATGTATCATTTACTTTTCGTAATCATATCATAATATTTGGGAATAATGATTGAATAATTAAGATATTTGGGAATTTAATTTTGATGGGTTGTAAGATAGTATTAGTGAATTTCAAATTTAATTTTCCCGTTGAGCAATAATCCTAAAAAATCGCCTATGCTCCGTTTATTTATTGCTGTGCGAGGATAAAGAAACAGCTTTAGCATTTAGTGGTGCATTAGCAATTCTGAAATCTTGTATAGTTTAGAAGAATTGTCATAATTCACAACATGATTCCACAGAGTAAAACAGGTGCTGAGAAAATATTCGATACTGATGTTTTGCAGCTTTTAATGAAGAATTGGACTTAGTCTAATCCATTCACAACAAATAATATCCAAACCAAGAGTAAAAGCCCAATAAAGCCTTGACGAGAGCCCAACATTCATGAATGATAGCCATGCCGTTCGGAATTACAGCTTGAGAATCAGTTTGTTGGTGACGGAAAGTGCCAGTGGTGATGAAATTCGTTTACTTCCTTCGCTTCTGGCAAGGTCTGCAATACCCTTATTGATAGATGCATCTTGGCATTTAATGTAACCCGGTGATTATATTATTAATATTTTGGAATTCAAAATGATTGAGTTTCAAATTTTGTGACTCGTTTTTAAATTTTTGGAATGTGAATTTTTCGTCTTCAATTCTTGAAATGTGAATGTTTCGTGTTCAATTTATGATATGTGAATTTTTCGTATTTCAACTTTTGGAATTCAAATTTTCGTATTTCAATTTTTGAAATATGAATTATTTGCGAACATGAACTTATTTGCCAAACTTCTTCATCATTGGATTTTACTTTTTAACTACTGAAGAAACACAATATAAGGGCAATTCCACCGATTGATTTTTCCAAATATTCATCTTTGAATCGAATTTTCTCTTAATTAGGGAACTTTGCAGCTGCAAGTTTTTCACAAACTTATGTAAAACGCCGATCTCTTTCATTCTTTATAACTCATGCATCTTGTCATGCTTTAAATAATGAAATATTTGGATTTTTGTCAGTGTTGGTATATTACACAATGTTGAATTCTGATTTTCAAAGCAGAAATTTACCACTTTAAAGACATCTAGACCAATCAAGACAACTATTAATGGTTGTTATGCCGTTCATTCTATCCATTTCAAAGATTCTGCATGCACAAATTGACTTGAAAGACACTCAATAGACAGAACAATTAATAATTTTAATGCAATCAATGTAATATACCAACGCTTAAGCCAAATCTAAAGAATATTTTTGAAGAAATCAAATGTTTAAAGCAGTTTAAAGAGCATGGATCCTGATAGGAAAATTTATTTAAAAAACGTAACTGTTATAATAGATTTGAAAATATAAACAACATTGTAAATGTATTGGTAAGCAATCATATAAGATTTAAGTTTGAAAAAAAAATTGAAAAATAATTCAAATAAAGAAATATGTCAGATAGGCATCGAAAATATTCATCAGGATCATCTGATGATGTAAGTTCCTTATTAATTAATATTAGATTTATAAAATAATCAATTATATTTTATTGTTAATAGAGTTATGAAAGAGAAAAAAGAAAAAAGACAAAATCACATCATAAAGAGCATCGAAGGAAGCATAAGGTACGTTTAATTATATTATCCATTCAGATCTATGCATTTCTATTATTCAAAATATTCAAATGTATCGTTTTAAATATATAAAAAAAAATTGTTTTAACAAACTGATGCTAATTCTAATTTTTGATAAAAAATTTTCAGTGCCGACCAAATACTGTTGAATTTTCATCAATTTACTATACCTATAATTCATAGCTTAAAAAAAACTTTCTTTTTATATTCACATTATGTATAAATATAATTACAGAAAGAACACAGGCGTGAAGAGAAAAGATCAAGTAGTTACGAAAGAAAAAAGTATCGTCATGATCGTGATAGGCATAGAAGTAGTAAGTATGATGACAGAAGAAAGGATAATAGAGAAAAAGAAACTGATCATAAATATAAATCAAAGCATGAAAAATATGAACATGATAATAAAAAGAGCATTATAGCTGAAACCAAAAAAACGGAAATAATATTGCCACCTGTGGACTCTCAGAATAATCCAGTAAACGCGATAAAGCAACTGACAGAGGATTTACCAAGCACGAGTACAAATAGTGACATTGCATTACCTACATATTATAACTCGACTATCGTAAATGCACAAAAGTTTGCAGAACAGCAAAAGAAGAGGAAACTTTTGTGGAATAACAAGAAAAGTGAGGAAACAAAATGGACGAATCTTAAGTTTTCACAAGATAATGATGGAACTAAAGCTAATAAATTTATGAGATTGATGGGCATAAAAGATCCAAAAGAAGGTATTTTATTTTAAAAGATTCAACTTTAATTGAGTCCTCAATTTTGTTTTTGTTTCTAGAAACTTCATCGCAACCTCAGCCATCAAAATCGGACACTGATAGCAACAAGTCAGACGAAATGTTAAAAAATATGGAACATCAATATGAAGTAGCTCGAAATATCACACATTTATCAAGAGGTTTCGGTCTCGGTTTTAAATAACATTGGTTGTAAAATAAAATAAAGATTTTGGGGATTATTATTTAACTGAATAATTTGATAAATGATGAACTGCAATTTTCCATGGAATGCTATCCTTCCGTAAATATTTCAGAGAGCTTTTGTATGCTTTCAGTAAGATTTCATCTGTTTCAAGTGGATAAAGGTAATCATTGAAATCGTACAGCAAATCCGTTTCTTCGCAATTGATGAATTTCAAAACCATTGCATATTCGGACCAAACAATATTTCTCCATTTAGAATCATTCTTTTGAGACAATGGAATCATTAACATACTGCTAAAAAGATTATCTCCATAACTTTGTGCTTGGAAAGTATCGAGGAACAATTTGTATAAACTCTCAAAATCTTTTTCATTATTGAGTTTGTGGTTGAACTTGAAAACTTTACCCTTCATATTGTCAAGGTCAGATTTAATCATTTCCTTTACTGATTCGTTGAGAAAATTTAGGTCCTTTCCGAAATAGATAAGCATCAAGTACATCAACTGTTCATCATTTGACAATGTCTGGATCCCTTTAGACTTCAAAAATGATTTAAATTTGAGTGTTGTGCTGATTATCTCATCTTCAGTCAAATCCGTTTCGATTGTTTGCTTTACATCGTTGCTGATAACCCCAACATTACAGAGAAAGATGAGTAGAAATTCATAGGCCCACGTATCACGTAGTAATAATTTATTCCATCCTTCAACTATCGCAATGTAATTAGTCTTCCGTTCCTAAATATTAAGGTACGGATTAATTTTTTTTCTTTCAATTAAAAGAATCAATTTATTTTACCTTAACTTTGGACATAACAAGTCCGTTATAAACGTATTTCATTCGCTCAAGCTCGTCCGTTGTTAATTGACTTTCAGCAAAGTCTTTGTGAAAAATGAAATTGTCAAAAATATCCAGCACGAGAAGAATTTTATCGGCAGAGAGATTAAGAATTAAATTATATGCAGCTTTAAACATCCAAGGACGATTGTAATGTTTCAGCTTTAACAAGTTGTAAATCAGTTTGATTTCTGTTTGAACGAACCAATTGGTTGAAGTCATTGATGCTTTTTGCAACATTGAAAATGTCTCTAAATACTTTTCTATGCCTGCATTGTTGAAGTGATTAAGCAGTTTCTCATAAATTTGTGAGTTCATGTTATTTCGCTTGTCTTTGAAAAGTAAAGTAAACATGAGCAATGAATGCACAAAAGGATGCGAGTAGTTTTGAGCATAAATTAAATTTGGAGTAGCATTTGAGACTAGCTTCTTTCGTACGATTGATCCAAAATTTGGAAGTGTCTTGTGAGTAAATCTTCGATCATGTAAATCCGTCAATAGAAGCGATGAAGATTGTAGTGATTCTGTTAGTTCTTGATAGCAATTTGATGCCAAAAATTTGAATAAATAATCATTGATAAAATCGTAGAAGAATTCAGGGATGAATTTGATAAATGATCCAGATACATCAAGAACACATGACAAGAGAATCTTTTGAGATAAATCTTGAAGGCTTTTACTTGCAGCTCTTGCAAACCATTTTTTACAGCACATTTTAAATGTTTCTCCAAATATTGTATAAGTAATAGCGACATTTGAGCGCTGGATTAAGTATAGCAAGGCACTTGCATGAATACGACAAACGAAATGATTTCTTTCATGAAAATCTAAATTTTGAAAATGCCATTCTAATAAATACCTTAGAGGCATGAGGATCCTACTGAACGTAGACTCGTCCTGAGTTATTCGAAAGTATAAGCGTAGAAAACGGAAAGACTCAATTTGAAGTTGGATATACTTTATATTCATGTCATTTTGTAGTGATATAGAAGAAACGAATTTCTCAAGGAGTGGTGGATTAATGAGTTTTGTGACATTACTTAAATTATATGATATGATTATTCGAAGTAACTTAATAATCATTCTTGATTCTTCAGGTTTCTCAATGCTTAAAATGTTAACAAGATGCTCCTTTAAATTTTTCTTTCCTGTAATTTTAACAGCAAATGATTCAGAATGTCTTGCTAGACTTATAAGGATCTTTAAGCATGAAATGTTAACATTTTGATTAGCATTCATTACTATTATAATGTAGCTGATTCTCTCAATGATGTTGGTCCTTTCTAAGCATTCAACAAGATTAATTTCTGCTAAATGAAAATCAGTCATGCTTTCTTTTTCACGGTCATCAACGGATAAAATATCATCGACTTTGCTCTCAAATAATGATTCACTATGCTCATTTAAATTCATCTTGTTCAAATCTAACCCATCCTCAACAATTTTCTGATCTTGTAGAGATTCATTTCCAATCAATGGCTGCAAATATCCAAAATTTGTCTCGAAAATTAAATCAATTATTGCCTCATCTGCTTCATTATAGAATAGATAGGACAAGCATTTAGCTATGGACTCGATTATAACTGGAACATTTTCGTCCAATCCAAAACGTAAGAAGAAAAAAGTCTTTGATATTGGCAAGTCTATGATTCCATCATAAAATCCTTGTGTGTACATATTAATGATTCCAGAAATAACATTTATAGCAGATATTCGTTGTTGGAGCATATCTGCTCTTGCCAATCTAAATAGTTCCTGTAAAGTATATCCAGGACGATGAGTTTCTTCTTCATGACAGAATAATTCACGATTATCCTTCTTTGAGTTTTCCTCATCAAAAGTGTATGGAAGGAGAAAGCCTTTCAAATCAAAGCGTGCCTCATATTTCTTGTCTTTTGGTACTGCGTATATTTTATTGACATTTTTAAGCCATTCTAGCTTTTCGGGTTCTAGTATGTTCATATTGACAAAGTTAAATGTATTGGCGTCTTCTAAGATATCTTGTGTCGGTATATCCTTAATATATTTTTTATAATCTTCACTGGATCTTTTAGTGCTACTGCTTTCAACTGAATGAGATTCCTTACTGTCTTGCTTTTTCTCAAGTTTACTTTTTGATTGAATGAATTTTATTAAATTTGGATCCATAGACTTAAGTAGTTCCTCTCGTTCACGCAATATTTCTACAGATGACATGGATTTTAAGAACTCAACATTATCAGTATCAATGCTTTTCTTCATGTCTTCGATGTTTTCTTGCTTTTCCGTATGCTCATCACTGTGTTTACTTTTATTCATTATTGAAGCAAACAAGCTTTCTTTAGAGCTGGAATCTTCCTTGAAATCGATATTTAAGACTTCTGGAAAACCACCATCTGTATCCATTGATTCTGTTGTTGTTATTTCAGAAAGATCTTTAGAATCGTATTTCCTTTCAATGACATCTCTAATTACAGTAGATTTATTTGAATCACTCTCAGCTGATTTTTCAATGTTTCGTTGCTTAGCAAAAAGTGATGTTTTGGTACCTTTAAAGTAATTGTTTTACTATAATTAATGAAGTAAGTAATTAATTTCATCAAACCTTGTTTATTTTTCTTTGTGGATACTACATGTGCAGCCGGAACTAGATTTTTATCCTTCTTCTCCATGTAATCATGCTGCATTTGAAGAACATCATCCATTGTATCCGTGTTCTTAGGACGCTTTAACATTTTTAATTAATTAAAGTATAAAAACCGTAAAAAATATTAATTTCACAATTCCAAAATCTTTTGTTTTGGGTAAATCCAAAACTTAGCAAAAAATTGTGATTGCTTTCGTGGATTTTCCCTACAATTCTTGTTTAATTTTAAATTAAATCTTCCGTTAAGGATTTCAAAATATTTTCAAAGTCGTTTCTTTGCCATGCTGCAATATAGTCTTAATAAAATTATCTTTTATCCTCTTTTTTTATCATTAAAAAATTGATATTTCGACACAATAAATGCAAGTCATTGGAGTGAACAGAAAGTACTAAAGCTGTAAATACAACGGCTAGCAAAAAAATGAACATGTGACAATGAATAGTAGCGTCCCATATTGCGAATTCTATACATGCGATCAAAAATTGAATATAAAATGAGTAAATAAGAGAATCGCAATTAGTTCCTCTCTTTCATCCTTGCAAGATTCTTGTGGCTGCAGAAAAATATCAGTTTAAAAAATAAATGTAATTAAATTTAAAAAAAAAGGTTTTATTCTTTCTTGTTTGGTTCCACAATAGATTAAGCATAAAAACCGGCATATAATATTCTATATTAAGGCTTAAAAAGTTAAAATCAATAATTCTAAAAACCTTACATTGAAAGAAGAAAAAACTTTTTTTGGGGATTTGAAAGTTTTAAAAAAAATTTGCAAGTGTAATTGTTTGCATAATACTTTATTATTTAATCATTTAGGGCTCCTGATTCTAAAACGCATCATAATGATGCCTTGCTGAATGATGAAAACAGTGAACAATCTGATGGAAAGAAATTCAAAGCAAGAGTTCAGTGGCCAAATGTTGGTGTTAATGCTTTTATTCATGCCGGTTTTTTCGTTGGACTATACTATTTGCTCACATTGAGACCTCTCGGTTTGACTTATTTGTGGTGTAAGTATAATCTGTAATTAAGACGTCAACTGTCATTCGATTCATTCTCGCCAACACATGATTTAATTAATTTTCCCATCGTATAATAATATCGTGCAGTCAACTTGAAAGGAAATGCAAAATTGCATTTTGAATACATACTGATACATAAGTTCGTACGTCGAATCAGTTGATTCAATAGAAAATTGTGTATCAAAGCTTTTTTCACCCATTCTATTTTACTAGATTGACAAAAAAAAAACAATTTTATAATTTTTGATGACAGCAGTGCTGACTTGTCAATGTATTTATTTAATCTTGTTTCTCATTAATTAATAGTTTTCGCGATTACTGTTCTTTGCAACCTAAGTGTTACTATCGGAGTTCATCGATTATGGTCACATAGATCATTCAAATGCAACAGGACTTTAAAGCTTATCTTGATGTTTTTCTATACCATGGCTGGACAGGTGATTATATTTCCTATTTATTTCGTTTATTTTTTTGCTTTCAATTTTATTTGGGAGTAAAGTACAATTTTGATGATCTTTGTAATTTATTTTAATCAAATACGCGATTCTGTTTCCAAGTTGAATTATTTTTAAGCAGTGTATCGCAGTTTCCATGATGCTGAAACTACTGAATTGCGAAATCTATACATTTGATTCTTTTCTTATCGAGAAAGTACAAAAGCAATCTAATCTACAGTCAGACAAACAGTTTTATACGTTTCAATGTCATGCCATCAGCAGATGTGCACATTATCAGCTGATTTTTAAATATGAATGAACCCATATTAAAAACCAACAACTCCATAATTTTTTTTTTCTTGAACATTTAATGCTCTTTAAGCATGACGAGCCAAAAGCCAATTATAGATTTATTGAATTTTCGTATGAATTTGTACTTAATCACAGATTATTTTTTAATAAATTATTTTGATTGATCCTTTTAGACCTCGATTTTCCATTGGGTTCAAATTCATCGTGTCCACCACAAGTTCAGTGAAACAATCAAGGATCCATTAGATTTTAACCGAGGATTCTTTTTCGCACATGGTATGTCACAAATAGGGGTTGTTAATTTTTCTATGTCTTAAAATATTTTAATGATTTTTATTTAAAACAGTTGGATGGTACTGTTTATCATATCACCCAGAATGTGAGGTTTGTAAACAGTTTGCATTATAACTTTCACTCAATTTAATTTAATCTACTTGCTTTCGTCTACAGAAAGAAATGAAGAGAATCGATATGGATGATATAAAGAGTGATAAGGACATAATGTTTCAGTACAAATATTATGATGTACTATTTACAATCCTTAACATTGTGTCAGTATTGATTCCATGGTATTTCTGGAACGAGTCATTAGTCGTCGCTTTCTGGACATGCTTTGTCAGCCGTTTTGCAATAAACTTCACACAACTTAACTTTACGAACAGTGCAAATCATTTCTTCGGTACACGACCTTACGATAAAGCACAATCAGCCACAGACAATATTGCATGCACGCTATTTTCATTTGGAGAAGGGTAAAATAAAACAAAAACATTTTAATTCTATTTTTACTTATGCCGCCTATTGTTTTTATTTTACAGATACCACAACTATCATCATGTAAGTTTCAAATTCTTCATCTGTATTTAAATGTTTTTAACCTTTTTATTTAAATTTAGGTCTTCCCATATGATTACCATGGAGCTGAATTCGGAGACTTGGGACATTACAATTTATCAGCATTCCTTATTGACTTCTTTGCTACTATTGGATGGGCTCATGATAGAAAGAAGGTTTCAGAAGATATGATCAAAAGACGTGTTTTGAGAACTGGTGATGGTACACACTTTTTGGCACATGAAGAAGCACACAAGACTTCTATTTACGGATATGGCGATAAGGACATTGAACCAGAAGATCAAGCTGAACTTGAAAATATGACTGATTAAATTTTATTTCAAAAAAGTCATCAGATTATTAAAAGCATGATAAAAAAAGAATATTGATAATTTTGAGACTTGTCATTTCTCGATTTATTGCGAAATTAATTTGGCATTCTGAAAAATTATTTTTTTATATCTCTCTATGTAACTTCTAAAGTTTGGATTCCTAAAATTTTTAATATTTTAAATTCTAATATCTCAATAAAATATTAACATAACTGGAAATTCAGGAATTATTCAATAACTAGCTTTTTCCTTTCTTTTTAACGCTTCCGATTTTGAGTTTAAACAAAAATTATTCAAAAGTTTAAAAAGCGCCACCTTTTGACTGTTTTTTCTTATTTTAAAATTCTTCATAATAAATTAATCGCTTTAGTTTTTATTTCATACTGAATTTCATGATTTCATCTATGCTCTGCACTTATTGAGATATCGCTTAGTTAATTTCATTATTAAAATGAAATTTACAGAAGTAAATTATTAAAGATTCAATTATTTTATTATGTTTTTTTGACATTTTTAAAATTAGGATGGAAAAGAATAAAATTACCACAATTAACGAATTTATAAGAGGCTACTGATAAATGACATCTAGTCTGGTGGAAAGGGGTCAAAGGAAACTCAAAACATCTGAAACAAGACTTTTAAAATTTCTTTTTCTTTGCCAAAGTTTGTCATTGAAGCCTTACAATAGATATGTCAAAGCTTCTAATTACCACAGTAAAATTATTAATTACGCAGATGAAATATTAATGCTGCTAATATTAATATAAAAATAAATCAGTGTTTGCAATTATCATATTCCATTGAACATTTTCTTACATGACGATGCATATCTTTTTAAGTCAAGGAAGCACAAGAAATTCATGACGTCACAGTCAATGTCTCAAGGTTATACGACACTTGTTGAGCAATTTCTTAAAGGGAATACCGTACAAAAGAATTTCTTAAAAGAATTCTTTGAGGAACTTCCTATCGTAAAGTATTTTCATTTTTACGGTAGGTATATTTTGTTATTTATCAAATACAAACGTGAGAGCAGCTGCATTGCCAAACAAAATAGGATTTCAAAGAGCGTATAAGAGGGGTGGTGAACATACATATGTATACATTCAGGAGTTCATCAAACCTTTCTCTCGGTGTTCGATCAATTTTTTTACATTTTCATTTTTTCAGATTGACAAAGAATTTTTTGATAGTAGCAAAGTTGTAGCTATGCCTCAGAAATGAAATTATAATTATAAAATTCAGATTTTTTTTTCAAAGAGCGCATTATATTATTTATTGATCATGTGACTGGCGGCAGTTGGACTAGACTATAAAATTTTTCTGACCAGTAATTACCTATTATTTAAATTATACCATAGCATGTGCAATATTCACGTAAGTTTTGTTTTTTCATTCAGGTATTATTTTTATTTTTAGAATGTCTCCTTTTATACTATATGTGTGTGTCTTTTTATCCTGATTGTAAATTTACATATGTTCCTTTTTTTTAATTTAAGCAATAGACAATCTGTTTAAGATTTTTAATTATGCAAACACACTTTGGTTTTTTTATGCATAGGTAGTTTTTGAATATTGAGTAAGTTTTCAGCCCTTTTTCATTATTATATACTTTTTTAAAAAGAAAAAAATAATAAAACATAATGATAAAATGTGCATTTTTACCAGTATGTAGTAAAGTCTTTTGTTTAAAATAAGCCACTAATTAAAGATCAATCATTATTTCATAAAACTTGCTACAATGCAAAAATATATTTATAAAAAAGGAATGAAAAAATTGCTGTTCCTTTTTAACCTCGTTTATTTTCCTGAACATACAGCAAAGAAAAAATCTCAAATTCATGCTCGAAAATATACATTTTGACAATTTTAAACAAAATATAAGTTCTAGGAAATTTAGTAAAAATGATCAGCACAAATATAATTGGGTCTCGTCGAAAACAAATTGTACGTAAGTAACGCTTAATTAAAGTGATTTTATAAAGCAATTGCTTAACTTTAGAAAGTAAGTTGCATATCAAATGATTTGAAGATTTACAGAAAATCAAGAAAAACATTAGCGTCACTCACGTGTCACATGTCGACGGGCTTCATTGATCAAAATTTAAATTTCATATTCTATAATTTTCTTTGTGCTTTATGTAAGCAGATCACAGAGTTTGGAACATTCGAAACACATAATTTTGGACTTAGCAACGAGTCAGTCAACCAACACCCCTATAGTCACTGAAATGAAATAACATTAGTGATGAAATAAAAATGCACAAAAATCCGACCATATTGTGTAAAAACTATTCATTCTGTCATAGCTACATAACAGATTTTATTTTTGATTTAAATGTCCACTCATATAAATTTTTGAAAAAAAAAATGAACATATGGATATAGGAATTTGAGTATAATAGGTAGTTTTTAATAATATAAACGCGTGAATATGAATAATTATTTTTACGCTTATTTAGTATTAATGATGATCTTTACATCTGCTACATAGACAATCCATCTGTCTGTTCAACGTTGTGTTAAAGCATTTGAACAGCATTAAAACACCGCATCAAATTAATTAACGAAAGTGCATTTAAATGCTGCACAATGGGAGAATAATGTGTGGAGGGTACTTCCACTCGTTTTGAGCTGGAGCCACTGCGACTCATTCAGTTTAAAATTTATTGTACAGTCCATTAAATAGTGGAATCTATACCACTCTATCAAAGACCGACAATGAATCTAGTCACAGTTTGTGTTTAGAAAAAAACGTAAAGAAGCAGCACAAATGATAGATTTATTTTTTCAACTATTATTCCAGTAATACACTCAAGCTGATATTGTGAGAAGAGTCAAAATAGACAGGCTTTGATGGACTGGACACATTATTAGAAAACCTGTTGCACTCTTTTAAATAAGGTCTTCAAATCCGATTTTGTAGATGGAAAGAGATCACGTGGAAGGCCAGAGAACTCATTATTATTATTATTATTATTGAGTTTTATTCACTACTTCTCCTTCTTTGGGAGAACTCATGGAAAGAGGCTGTTGATAGAGACAGTGCTGCATTGGCAGACGGTAGCCAGCGATAGAGCCAGTTTTAGTAGATGACTAATGGATGTCATGGATCACAATTGATTTATACGATCAGCGAAGTAAGGAAGTAAGTAATACACTCTAACCGAGATTCGTGATTGAATCTGTGATGCAATTTTACAAAAAATAAATAAAAATGACATGAGAAATATTTTTTTAACTTGATTCTTTATTTAAAAAATTTCTTAAGTAATAAAATTAATTATGTATTCACACTTTTTCAAAATAATAATAATGTTACCGATATAATTATTGTAAGCTTTGTTTTTATACAGAAATGGCACAGTGAATTTCAGGCATGTAATTCATAATTCATGATTTTCAAGGTAGTTATTATAAAGAAAAGAGTAAAAAGTTAAAAATAAAAAGGACAAAAAAATTAAAATTCTAAAGGTTGTGACTGCAACAGGCAATAGTCAACACAATTGTATTTGTGTTGTTCAAGAAAATGGGCGTGCACTTAAAGACATTCTTATAAAAGAAACTCCATTGCGCAAATACCATTGGAAAGAATTCAAACAAATCTTAGCATGGTGTACATACATACTATAAATATTTTTCCTTAAGAATTAAAGCTTTGACTAGCAAGTGACTCATCTTTCGTTTCTCTTTTCAACTTTACATTGAATGAGATACGTACATATAAAAATAAATTAATTAAAAATAGATTTTATATACATGCATGAACTATAACTATGATAAAAGTACTTTCTTCTCTAAATAAATAGGTTTTATATCTCTAATCATTTTTTTTTTAAATTGTCAATGTGTGACGTATAACAGAACATGAAGAACTATTTCTTAAATTTGTCAAAGCACTTATTGCGATACTTTCGTCTTCGGTAAAATGAGAACTAATAATTTGAAAATTTCTTGTACCACTATCAGAATTCATAAAACGATTGCTTGAAGCATTACTATTTTCATCAATAATTAAATCATGTTCACTATTGTATGATGATGTCGGTGACGGTTCACGATTAAAAGTATACACGCTTTGTGGAATCAGCACATCTGCACTATCATGAGTACTGCTTGTGTTATGCATGAAAGAATCATCATTTTGAGCAAATATTGTTTTGTCGGCAACTACTTTTTTGTTGTGTAGGGCAAGATGTTTATTCAAATACGCCTGACGCTTAAAATTTTTCCCACAAATTTTGCACGAATATGATGACTCACTTTCCGATAAATTGCTTTTTTTATTGATTTGATCCCTAGGCTTATGCCATCGTCTATGAGACGCTAAATTCGCCGGACAATTAAACTTTTTTCCGCATTCTGGACATCGATAGTCTATCAAAACAATGCATGAGCATCTATGCATCGCTAATAGAAAAGCATCCTCAAATTCCAATGTGCATAGTTTACACTGATATGCCCCAATAACATTTTTAATTTGAGCAAGTTCACATTTAGCCTCTTCGGTGATTTCAACAACGTTATATTGTGGATCAATGTCACCTGACTCGTGGATACCATTCTCTTCGATTTCATCTAATGTCCTGATTATTGTACCTGTTTAAAGATAATTTCTATCTTTAGTTATCTGACACGATAATAATGCACAGTTATTTTTGATTATTAATAATTACCTGAAACTGGAGACGATCTAAATTCATCAAACTTTAATTTTCTTATTGCTTTGCTGGCCTTTTCGTTTACATTCGCTTTCGGATGATTTTTTGACGCTTTTAAATTTACAGATAATTTTGAACTTTTCCTTTTTGGAGTTTTTTCTGGCTTGATCTCTTCGACAGGATCAATTTTTGCCGTTTGATTCTCTTCACGATATCGCTTCTTAATTGGTGAATTTTCTTTTCGATTAAAATCACAGCTAAAGTTTTCTATATTATCAGCATCGCGATACCGCTTTTTTAATGGACTGTGATTACTCATGTCATGGATTGATGAAATAGGCTTGATTGTCAAATCTAGAGGTGATTCTATTTTAATTTTTATCCGTTGATCATCTTTTTGTTGCTTTAACAATACTGTCTTTATTCCTCCAAGATCAATTATTCCTTTGTCCATTGCAACTTTGACTGTATTTTGAACACATTATCAATTAAATGTTAATTCACTTCCTTATTTTCTTAAGGAACAACCATTTATTTTATGAGAATTGTATAATGAAATTATTAAACTTAAAATTATTACAAACTAAAATATTAAAAAAGAAGATATGGATATGGATCTATAAACTAGTGTGGTTGATATCGAAATGACTCAGTGTAAATCAGGAACACATGGTTTTATAACTAATTTTTCCCCTAATTTCCAACAAAATTACAAATACATACGCATATCATGTCCTTTTATGATTTTGCGTACTATGTCTATGCTATGTTCAAGTGTGACACGCGATCATCACTGCACGTGCTTGTGTATATCGCAGTAGAGTTTTATGAATTGTTTTGCATTTTCGTAACACCGGGCCACATTAAAGCAGAGGGTTCAATATCATTTCTAACCGAGTAACTGAATAAAAAAAAATTTGGTAAAGAAGAGCAAGGTTTATGTGTATATATATATATATACATATATATATATATATATTTATAGACGAGTGACTAAATATATGGGCTCTTTAAACATATACATGAACATAATAAGCATAACATTGAATAGTGCAGGAAAAAAACGGTGAATCATCATGCTAGTGTTAGTTGATGAAAATTTCTATGATTCACATTATTTTTAAAATCTGTGAGGGTTGAAATTGAAAGTATTGTTTAGTGGAAGACCATTAATGCAATGAACGACAGGACGTTTGATGAAAATTGTAAGAATATTTCCAGGGAGATTCATTGGGCAAAACAATTTCATCTGTTCCGTTCTTTTAGTAATAATTGTGGGAATCTCCTTTTTATCATGTCTAATTAAATCTTCATTTATAACATTTCTCCTTTATCAGCCTCACTTCGTACACAATTTAGTCAGTAAATAATTATAGAAAAAGTTTAGATCACCTTATCAATCTAATGAGCATTGCTAGTAGCAATACATTATTGAATAATATTATTCCGGATTGCAATGTTTGTTGCAGCTGCTTATTCAACCCTCTTTCCTCAAATCAGAATTGGAGGGTTTAAATAAATGTACACTAAGCGCTTTGCACCTCCTCACAGCATAGGGTGAATTTATCAGCTCATTCGACGACGAAAATTATCTCTGTAATTGTAAATATAGATGTATAAAGAAGAATAAGAATTAAAACTATATGCGTATTATCTGTGTAAAAAAAGCTCTTTTATTGTTTTCTTGATGTTTGGAAATCAAATAACTAAAGAATTTATTGAGCAATAAAAAAATGTTATGAATCACTTCCTTTTTAAAAGACTTGACTTGAAATTATATTAGGTATTTGAATGAAAAATAGAGCAATGGAGTTCATTTGATTAAAAACCGCAAAAACAAATATTTTAAATTCCACCACGAAGACGAAGAACCAAATGCAATGTAGATTCCTTCTGGATGTTATAGTCACTTAAAGTACGACCATCTTCTAATTGCTTTCCAGCGAAGATTAAACGCTGTTGATCTGGTGGAATTCCTTCTTTGTCTTGAATCTTGGCCTTAACGTTTTCAATAGTGTCAGAAGGCTCTACTTCTAAGGTAATTGTTTTACCAGTCAATGTCTTGACAAAGATTTGCATGCCACCTCTGAGACGAAGAACCAAATGCAATGTTGATTCCTTTTGGATGTTATAGTCACTTAAAGTACGACCATCTTCCAATTGTTTTCCAGCGAAGATCAAACGCTGTTGGTCTGGGGGAATTCCTTCTTTGTCCTGGATCTTAGCCTTAACGTTTTCAATAGTATCAGATGGCTCTACTTCCAATGTAATTGTCTTTCCAGTCAAAGTTTTCACGAAAATTTGCATACCACCACGAAGACGAAGAACCAAATGCAATGTAGATTCCTTTTGGATGTTGTAGTCACTTAAAGTACGGCCATCTTCTAATTGTTTTCCAGCGAAGATCAAACGCTGTTGATCTGGTGGAATTCCTTCTTTGTCTTGAATCTTGGCCTTAACGTTTTCAATAGTATCAGATGGCTCAACTTCCAATGTAATGGTCTTTCCAGTCAAAGTTTTCACGAAAATTTGCATACCACCACGAAGACGAAGAACCAAATGCAATGTAGATTCCTTTTGGATGTTATAGTCAGACAAAGTACGGCCATCTTCTAATTGCTTTCCAGCGAAGATTAAACGCTGTTGGTCTGGGGGAATTCCTTCTTTGTCTTGGATCTTTGCCTTAACATTTTCAATAGTATCAGATGGCTCAACTTCCAATGTAATTGTCTTTCCAGTCAAAGTTTTGACGAAAATTTGCATTCCACCTCTGAGACGAAGAACCAAATGCAATGTAGATTCCTTTTGGATGTTATAGTCAGACAAAGTACGGCCATCTTCTAATTGCTTTCCAGCAAAGATTAAACGCTGTTGGTCTGGGGGAATTCCTTCTTTGTCCTGAATCTTAGCCTTAACATTTTCAATAGTATCAGATGGCTCTACTTCCAATGTAATTGTCTTTCCAGTCAAAGTTTTGACGAAAATTTGCATGCCACCTCTGAGACGAAGAACCAAATGCAATGTTGATTCCTTTTGGATGTTGTAGTCACTTAAAGTACGACCATCTTCCAATTGCTTTCCAGCAAAGATTAAACGCTGTTGATCTGGTGGAATTCCTTCTTTGTCTTGAATCTTGGCCTTAACGTTTTCAATAGTGTCTGATGGCTCAACTTCCAATGTAATGGTCTTTCCAGTTAATGTCTTAACGAAGATTTGCATGCCACCTCTGAGACGAAGAACCAAATGCAATGTTGATTCCTTTTGGATGTTGTAGTCACTTAAAGTACGACCATCTTCCAATTGCTTTCCAGCAAAGATTAAACGCTGTTGGTCTGGGGGAATTCCTTCTTTGTCCTGGATCTTAGCCTTAACATTTTCAATAGTGTCTGATGGCTCTACTTCCAATGTAATTGTCTTTCCAGTCAAAGTTTTGACGAAAATTTGCATTCCACCTCTGAGACGAAGAACCAAATGCAATGTAGATTCCTTCTGGATGTTATAATCAGACAATGTACGACCATCTTCCAATTGTTTTCCAGCAAAGATTAAACGCTGTTGGTCTGGTGGAATTCCTTCTTTGTCTTGGATCTTTGCCTTAACATTTTCGATAGTATCAGATGGCTCAACTTCCAATGTAATTGTCTTTCCAGTCAAAGTTTTGACGAAAATTTGCATTCCACCTCTGAGACGAAGAACCAAATGCAATGTTGATTCCTTTTGGATGTTGTAGTCACTTAAAGTACGGCCATCTTCCAATTGCTTTCCAGCAAAGATTAAACGCTGTTGGTCTGGTGGAATTCCTTCTTTGTCTTGGATCTTTGCCTTAACATTTTCGATAGTATCAGATGGCTCAACTTCCAATGTAATTGTCTTTCCAGTCAAAGTTTTGACGAAAATTTGCATTCCACCTCTGAGACGAAGAACCAAATGCAATGTTGATTCCTTTTGGATGTTGTAGTCACTTAAAGTACGACCATCTTCCAATTGCTTTCCAGCAAAGATTAAACGCTGTTGATCTGGTGGAATTCCTTCTTTGTCTTGAATCTTGGCCTTAACGTTTTCAATAGTGTCTGATGGCTCAACTTCCAATGTAATGGTCTTTCCAGTTAATGTCTTAACGAAGATTTGCATGCCACCTCTGAGACGAAGAACCAAATGCAATGTAGATTCCTTCTGGATGTTATAATCAGACAATGTACGACCATCTTCCAATTGCTTTCCAGCGAAGATTAAACGCTGTTGATCTGGTGGAATTCCTTCTTTATCCTGAATCTTAGCCTTAACATTTTCAATGGTGTCTGATGGCTCAACTTCCAATGTAATTGTCTTTCCAGTTAATGTCTTGACGAAGATTTGCATGCTAAAAATGAAATAATGAATTAATATTGCGAAATCTGTTTTTGAAAATGAGTCAGTGTTTATTCCAAACGATGACTCATACTTTATTTAAAGACTTTTATGCGAAAATAAAGTTTTCTTTTTTTTAATTTTTTTATTCGAGCGAATAATTAGTACGTGAAGTAAAATTTACGTCAAGCTTTGTTTCCGTCATAAAACTTGAAACTTGCAGGCCATTTTGGAATTTAAGAAACTTTCATATTTGAAAAAAATAATTTTTCTGTGAATTTAACAAATTTTATTAAAATATAATGTTATATTTTTGTAAATATAAACCCTTAAAACATATAATTATACTCAAAGGACATCCATTTATCAAATAAAGGCGTTTTTTTTTTGAATTTTCTATCACATGATTTTCAGACAAAGAAAAAATATCTCGAGCTTTTTGAATTTAAAAAGTAGCATAGTTTTGGGTATTTTTTTATACTTACTTGATAGTTTTCTTGATAACTAGCTTCTTTTGAATACGATAAGACAATAAATTTCACTTTAAGATATCTTTTAATAGTTTAAATAGCACTCTTTAAATTTTTTACTTCTCGTTGACTCGATTGATTTTTAATGAATGACAAATTTTATTTCTAGGATGAGGTTAATGATTTTCAATAACTTGAGAGCTTGGGACACGATCAGTTAAGTTTCGTTAAAAACGTTTGTTTTGTAAACAAAAAAAAAATAGTGAAATTATAAACGGAAATTCTCAAAGAATCTTGAACTTTCTCATTGTTCTTTGTTTTTAAATTAAACAATAAATTATGGAAAATTACGAGGCAAATGAGGAAAATGAATTGAGTCGCACCGAAAAGATTTTGAAAGGCTTCCAAATGTAAGAATTCAATTAACATTATTTTTGATGTATTACATTAAATGTTTTTACTAAATTCTAGAAATTGGATAAAGCTACAAAATGCAGATAATGGAAGTATTATATGGCAAGAAGCTATAGATTTTTCAGATCCAACTCAAATACATGAAATAACATTGCCAACAAACACACTAGAAATAAAAGCTGTACAAAGAATAATGAGTTTTTCAACAGTCGAGGAACTTAAGAATTTTAGAGTAGTCCACACAGCAAAATTTAAAGGAAAACTTTTGGAACAGTTGAGTTATACCATGGGTGCTTTCAAACCAGCAACAACAAATACAATCATCAATATCATAGAATCAGCTCCAGAATCACAAATGATGCCTGCAAAGGTACTTAATGGTAAGGTTTGCATTGAAACGGACTTTTATGATGAAAATGAGAAATTTGCTACGTCTACAATAAAATTATTTTACTCTTAAATTACAAATTATTTGTTCAACTTTATTTTACATACTTTTTAATAAACAAAGAGCAATAAGACAACTAATTAATGATTTTATTTTTAAAATAATGATCGAAAAATAACAGTACAAAAAGATTTAAAATTCTTACGACGGAACTGTTTTAACGAAACAATTAAACTTATCCATTCTGTATAAAACCAAGCAAATTTTTCGATCTCCAAATATTCTCAATTTCAAAATTAATTAAGAAAGTTTTAAGTGTGAATAAACGTAATTATATTACATCAGCCACTTTATAAGCTTTGATAATTCCAAAATATATTGTGAAATTAACAAGAAAACATCAAGTAAGTACCAAAAATCCAATTTTTCAGTCCTCAAAAACATTTTCGTTTCATACTCCATCTTTTCCTGAGTTAATTTTTCTTTGTTTGAAAATTGTTTTAAATAAACCATTTAAATAGGTCATATAATATTGAAAGGAACTTATAAACCTTTAATCATCTTTTTGCAATAATCAAAGACCAGAAATATCTAGAATAAAGCAGAAAATTAACAAAAGATAACATAACTTAATTGCATTAAAAATTCAAAATGGCTGCATTTAGTCAGTCGAACTTTCGAGAACAAAGAAACCTAGTTTTTCCTGCTTTATTTAATGAGTTCATCGATTTATTTCGTCATCACTTTTGTTAAGCTCTCAAGATTAATGACTTTAAAAACAGTTCTGTTTTGAAAATATTTCCTAATAATAGTAATACTAATAATTTCGTAAATTTTTGTCACTTTCTTCAACAGAATGCAAATTTTCGTCAAGACATTAACTGGTAAAACAATTACCTTAGAAGTAGAGCCTTCTGACACTATTGAAAACGTTAAGGCTAAGATTCAAGACAAAGAAGGAATTCCCCCAGACCAACAGCGTTTAATCTTTGCTGGAAAGCAATTGGAAGATGGTCGTACTTTAAGTGACTACAACATTCAAAAGGAATCAACATTGCATTTGGTTCTTCGTCTCAGAGGTGGCATGCAAATCTTCGTCAAAACTTTGACTGGAAAGACCATTACATTGGAAGTAGAGCCATCTGATACTATTGAAAACGTTAAGGCCAAGATTCAAGACAAAGAAGGAATTCCACCAGATCAACAGCGTTTAATCTTTGCTGGAAAGCAATTGGAAGATGGTCGTACATTGTCTGATTATAACATCCAAAAAGAATCTACATTGCATTTGGTTCTTCGTCTCAGAGGTGGCATGCAAATCTTCGTCAAAACTTTGACTGGAAAGACCATTACATTGGAAGTTGAGCCATCTGATACTATTGAAAATGTTAAGGCTAAGATTCAGGACAAAGAAGGAATTCCACCAGATCAACAGCGTTTAATCTTTGCTGGAAAGCAATTGGAAGATGGTCGTACTTTAAGTGACTACAACATTCAAAAGGAATCAACATTGCATTTGGTTCTTCGTCTCAGAGGTGGCATGCAAATCTTCGTCAAAACTTTGACTGGAAAGACAATTACATTGGAAGTAGAGCCTTCAGACACTATTGAAAATGTTAAGGCTAAGATCCAGGATAAAGAAGGAATTCCCCCAGACCAACAGCGTTTGATCTTCGCTGGAAAACAATTAGAAGATGGTCGTACATTGTCTGATTATAATATCCAGAAGGAATCTACATTGCATTTGGTTCTTCGTCTCAGAGGTGGCATGCAAATCTTTGTCAAGACATTGACTGGAAAGACAATTACATTGGAAGTAGAGCCATCAGACACTATTGAAAATGTTAAGGCTAAGATCCAGGACAAAGAAGGAATTCCCCCAGACCAACAGCGTTTAATCTTTGCTGGAAAGCAATTGGAAGATGGTCGTACTTTAAGTGACTACAACATCCAAAAGGAATCAACATTGCATTTGGTTCTTCGTCTCAGAGGTGGCATGCAAATCTTTGTCAAGACATTGACTGGAAAGACAATTACATTGGAAGTAGAGCCATCAGACACTATTGAAAATGTTAAGGCTAAGATCCAGGACAAAGAAGGAATTCCCCCAGACCAACAGCGTTTAATCTTTGCTGGAAAGCAATTGGAAGATGGTCGTACTTTAAGTGACTACAACATCCAAAAGGAATCAACATTGCATTTGGTTCTTCGTCTCAGAGGTGGCATGCAAATCTTTGTCAAGACATTGACTGGAAAGACAATTACATTGGAAGTTGAGCCATCAGACACTATTGAAAATGTTAAGGCTAAGATCCAAGACAAAGAAGGAATTCCACCAGACCAACAGCGTTTAATCTTTGCTGGAAAGCAATTAGAAGATGGTCGTACTTTAAGTGACTACAACATCCAAAAGGAATCAACATTGCATTTGGTTCTTCGTCTCAGAGGTGGCATGCAAATCTTTGTCAAGACATTGACTGGAAAGACCATTACATTGGAAGTTGAGCCATCAGACACTATTGAAAATGTTAAGGCTAAGATCCAAGACAAAGAAGGAATTCCACCAGACCAACAGCGTTTAATCTTTGCTGGAAAGCAATTAGAAGATGGTCGTACTTTAAGTGACTATAACATTCAAAAGGAATCAACATTGCATTTGGTTCTTCGTCTTCGTGGTGGTATGCAAATTTTCGTCAAAACTTTGACTGGAAAGACAATTACATTGGAAGTTGAGCCATCAGACACTATTGAAAATGTTAAGGCTAAGATCCAAGACAAAGAAGGAATTCCACCAGACCAACAGCGTTTAATCTTTGCTGGAAAGCAATTAGAAGATGGTCGTACTTTAAGTGACTATAACATTCAAAAGGAATCAACATTGCATTTGGTTCTTCGTCTTCGTGGAGGAAATTAATTTTGAAAATAAGAAAATTAACTTGGTTCAAAAATAAAGATCGATTTGATAAAAAATAGATATTTGTTTTATTATTTATTGCCTTTTCAGCTTATCGTGTTTATTATTTATTTGACATTAATAATATCTGATTTATTTAATTAAGTTTTTGGTGAGCTAGATAAAGTGAGCGACACATTTTGCTAATTACATGCATGAAAATTTCCGCAACACATTACTGTAAATCTTTAAATTGGTTAACGGATAAAATTCATTTAAAATTACATATTTAACGAAGATTTAACGAACATTAGGTTATCTGATCCATGTAAAAATAACTTTTGTTTATTCAATTCGTGTGCTTAATTTTAGCACTTCTTCTTTGTGATTATTTCAGTCAATATCACATGAAGATTCTACATTCATTGCTTCATAATTTGATCGGATCACAAGAAGTTGATAAAATAAAATCAATTTAATAATTATTAGAAATCTTGCATCATTTACACCAGTAATCAAAAAAATATTATTTGGTTCATAAAATTTTTAAGTATCTTAATAAACGGATAATAATAGTTCTTAATTATATATTTTCGTGGATATACATGGAAGAATAGTATCTGATTCGTTAAATCTAGGAATTCAAATTGTACATAAAGATGAGAGCTCTTTTAAATTGCCAAAAAAATTTGTTTATTATAAGGAAATATCAAGTATTTAATGGTAAGAGTAATGAACTTTTTCATGTGCTTATTCTCAATAACATATTGTGATATTAATAGTATCAAAATGTCCATGACCTTCTTTGTGTGATGTGCTATTCCAAGAAATCTAAATGTTGATATTTTTAGGAAAAAAATTGGCATTAAAATACGGAAATTTGCCTTTGTCATCGCAGCAGCAGCAGCGCACATTTGCTATATGCAATCATACAAATTTTCACTATTTAATTCCTCAAAGATCGATATCGTCATCTAATGTGTTTTTTGAGAAATCATCATCCAAAATTGAAGATGTCGTTAAGACATTAAAGGAAGCTGAAAAGGAAAAAACAACAACAGCGGCTGCAACAGAAGTTAAAGAACCACTAATTCCAAAAGTAGACATAGCGTCGACAGACATACAATCGAAACAAGCTATAACTCCTGTGACACCTGATTCATCAGCTGTTGTAAAGAAGACAATATTACAAAAGATATGGGCTGAATGTGTGCATTATTATCATGGATTCCGTTTATTATTCATAGACATTAATGTGTCTCGTAAGTTACTTTGGAAAGTACTTAATGGGGGAACCTTAACACGACGAGAACATCGATTACTTATTCGAACAACTTCAGATTTGTTCCGTCTTTTACCATTCTCTGTTTTTATTATTGTTCCTTTCATGGAGTTATTATTGCCATTAGCAATTAAGCTATTTCCTGGAATGCTGCCATCGACTTTCGAAAGTGCTACCGAAAAAGAAACTAAGATTAAGCAAAATCTAAAAGTTAAGATAGAAATGGCAAAATTTCTACAGAAAACATTAGACGATATGACTGTCCAACATAAAGGACATCGTTCGGAAGCAGCAAAACAATTTTCAGAATTCTTTCAGCGTGTCCGTGATGATGGACTGAATATAACAAATGAGGAAATTATGAAATTTGCTAAATTATTTGAAGATGAAATAACATTGGATTCCTTAAGTAGACAACAATTGCTTGCATTGTGTCGTGTCTTAGAAGTTAATACGATAGGTACTAATAATTTATTAAGATTTCAATTAAGAATGAAATTAAGAAGCTTGGCTGCTGATGATCGTATGATTCAAAAGGAAGGAATTAATTCGCTGACTTTACAAGAATTGCAAATAGCTTGTCGAAATCGAGGAATGAGAGCATATGGTATGTCAGAAGAGCGATTAAGGAAACAACTGTTGGAGTGGATTAATTTAAGTTTAAATGAAAAAGTTCCACCGTCTTTATTGTTGTTATCACGAGCATTAATGCTTCCTGAAAATGTTGAAGTTGGTGATAAATTGAAGGCAACATTGGCGACATTGCCTGAAACTATAGCAACTCAAACAAAAGCAAATATTGCTGAACGAGAAGGCAAAATTGATAATAAAACGAAGATTGAAATTATCAAAGAAGAACAACGTAAAATCAAAGAGGAACAAGATGAAGAAAAGGAAGCACAGATGGAAAAGAAGGCTACGGAAGACGTTTTACATGACAAAGCACCAATTTTAACTGATTCTGATGGTATTAAAACATTATCTCTCGATGAGATTTCTAAAAAGGGTATAGAAACTATTAAGATACAATTAGATGAAAAAGTTCCAACTGAAAAACCAAAGGATAAAGAGAAGGAGCTTACGACAGAAGATTTGAAGGTTTTGAGCGATGCATTGGGTTCGATTAGTCAGAATAAAAATTTACTTATTGAAAAGGAAGAAATAAAGGAGATCAAGGAAGAGATTGCCGAGTATGAAGAGGATGTAGAAGAGCTAAAGCAAATGGTTGGGCAAAATAAGGACGAGAAGCTTCAATTGAAGGAATCGCGTGCTGCCAAACTCTTATTCAAAAAGGTGAATTCTATGATTAGTAATCTAGATAAGGTGCTCGATGACTTAGAACAGAAGGAAAAGAAAATCAAAGATTTAATTGAGGAGCCTGTTGAAGTAACGGAAGCTGTTGATGCTGTGATTGAAGAAGAAGCTAAACACAATAAAGAACTTGTAAGAATTGACGAAATGATGAATGCAATTCGAAAGGTATGTCAACAGAATTAACTATCGTCTATATGCTAATTAACTTGAATAATCTTCTAGATTCAAAAAGTTTCTGACGAGTCTGTTTTGCTTCAAATTGAGAAAATTTTAGGTCGTATTGATGACGATAGAGATGGATCAATCAAAGTTGAAGACGTTTTAAAAGTAAGTCTACTCATACGGTTTAAAAAATGCATTATTGATAAAAAATTAAATCATTTAAAAAATAGGTGATTGAAACAATAGGAAAAGAAAATGTGAATTTGAAGGAGAATCAATTAAATGAGATTTTGGATCTTATTGATAAGGAAGAAATACTTGAGACAGAAGAGAAAATTGTCAAGGCTTTAAAAAAGGAGCAGGATCAAAAGCAAGCTCAAATTATTAAGGATAAAGAAGAATTCACAGAGAGTGAGAAGAAATTCGTTTTGCAAGATAATGCAGAGGAGCTGAATGACCAAACAGATGTAAAAAAGGTAAATGCTTAAAGTTGATAATTAGCAAATATTTGTCGAGTGCTGAAAGTCTGATTTTTGTTTGATTTGTAGATCAATGATAGCAATGATGTTGATGAGAAGATAAAAGAGGCAGTAGAAAAGCAAAATGAGAAAATATTATCACAAGTAGCACCAACTAATACTGCAAAGACTACAGCAAATTCAGAGAAAACAGACTCTTCAACGACAAAGTTAAAATAAATAAGTGATACATTCTGTAAACTTATAGTGACGATGAACGATTAATACATTTGTCATGTAATTAAAATCCATGCTTACGAAAATATCAAATGTTATTCCCTTTATTATTACTACTATTATTATGATGATTATTTAATTTAAATCGAATCCAAAATGTAATGAATGCAATACCTAACACCTAACAGATAAGGTTTTTAAAAAGCCTTAATAAAATTACAAAAATGATTACAATAATCCCAATATGAAGTACGATAAAGGAACGGCAATAATGCATTTCATCATAGGCATTCCAAGAATTGTAGCAACCAGTTTCCACACTCCACAATGAATGCTGACTTGAAGTAAAATATGTAGGATGAGTAAAATCTTGTGCTTCTTTTTGGCGGCAGGAAGAGTCTTGAGAGGTTCATTATTTAGATAAATACGAACACCTTGCGCCAAGTTTGTAAAATAATCAATCCAGTCTAAAGGCAAAACATCGAAATTAAACATTTCTTGATCAACTGGTGACATAGTTTTGGACAGCAACTGTGTGTTTTTATTATGAAATTTCCACTCAGTAAAGATGAACCGTTCGAGGAGCTTCAATGAATCCCAAACATTTGTGTGTAAACGAACCAAACTACAATAAATAAAAAAATATTAATTAGCTTTAGTAAATGAAACACATTGAAAAAACTTACATTGGACGTCCACCTGCGATTCGAGTAACAAAGTCTAATATGTATGCCGGAATGAAGTGAATAAGAATTGCCGAGAGCTTAAATAAGAATAAACTGGGAGAGAATTTTAAGTAAGGATACCAAACTGCCGATTTTAGAGGGAACATTGTGAGAAGTTCGTTAGTTTTCTCGCCGAGAATATCCCATTTGAATGGATTGCAAGATGATGTAGTGCAATGGAATATCGATAATTCGCCAGACTTCTTCTGAGCGACATGATAAGCTGTTGCAATAACTTGATTTACAACCATATCGACCGGGATATAGTCATAAATAAGCTTTGGATCAACCGGCAAGCGACGAATGACTCCTTTCGATGCTCCCATGAGAAAGCCTTGAGGTCCATTTTTAGAGATTGTCCATCCTTTTACGGGTTCATTCCAACTAGCTGAATATTATATTGATATGTTTTCTTAATGACTATTATCATGAATATATTTTGATTTTACCTGTTATCATGGATGGACGAATTATTCCAGCATGAACAACGGAAGCGCACTTTGCAACTTCATGTTCTGCTAAGTGTTTTGTGAATGCTGTTAAAAATATGTGTATTTAAAATATATTGCTATAATTATTATGTCCTTCGTGTCCTTACTATAAGTATTTGGGTGGTTTTTGATTAAATCAGATGTGATGAGATCCAATTCCGCATCATTTTTAGCCTTTACTATTTCTATAACTTTATCAGCATCTTCTGGTGAGGGGTAAAGCTTTTCTTCCGTTTCTAAAAAGAATGAGTTGACGTAAGCACTTGATATATGCACCATTGAGTTGAGATTCTTAATTTGTTTGCACAATTCCATCACTTGTCTCGTTCCAAGCAAGTTTATCATAACTGTTGGTCTCAGTGAGGCTTGGAAGTCAAGGGTAGCAGCTGAATGAATAACAATATTAACATTGTTAATTAATAATTCTCGATCAATTGCCGACAAGCCAAGGTTTTCTTCACCAACGTCACCTATTTTTGATGAGTAATTAAGCATATTTTATATTGCAATGTCATGCTTCTTTGAATAATTTTTATAGGCAAATACCTGATACTGCTATTAATTTTTTAAATACATCAGGAGACTTTTCCTCCAATAATCTTGAAAATACTGCATTTTTTGTAATGTCTTGAAGACGTTCTTCAATAGATTTGCCTTTTTTTGGGCGAATTAACATATAAACCTATGATAAAATCAACATGTTTATGGCTACAGTAATACGTAAGCTTAATTAAAATTATTATACCTTTCCAACATCAGTTGATCGTAAAATTTTTTCGACAAGAGCTATTCCAACAAAGCCAGTTCCGCCCGTAATGAAAACCTTAACACGAAGAAGATATGAAAATTATTTACAGTTATTTCGACCAATTCAATTTTTGATATCTATGCTTACATTCTTATTTCGATAGAAATCTGCAACATTTGAAGTCATTGCTGATAATATGGTTGACTTTAATCTGAGTTCAAAAAATGGAACAGCTTAATCAATTGTAATTTAAATATATTAATGTGTGAAAGTATTAATTAATGGACGATAACCATTATGTAATATTTAAAGCACTGGGCTTTCTTCTATGTCCTTAACTCTATTGTTTAGTTATCAAAGTACATGATTCAATAAGTCGTAATATTTTCAATCACTGATTAATGCTTAATTTTTTGCCATCATAAACCTGATTTTGGAACTGAAAATGACGCAAATCGACTTCTTAAATTTAACATTCTATTGTGTTAAGAACACTGACTAAAGGTCATTTTTTCTTTAAACTGATCTCTAAAATTAATTCTTCAACCATTCCTGTTGATTAACAGTTATCTCATTATATACTTCTTTATCACTAAATTTAACATTTAATGCGATTAATGACCATAATTTGATAAAAATTTTAAAACAGAAATGTTAAAAATGATCTTACCGGATTATTGATCAAGCAGTTACTCACTACAGCACACAACAATTGAAAGAAAAATAAGTGAATGAAAGAATGCGAAACGAAACTCAACAATTGACGAAGGGATTGTAAAAGCAACTGAGTTATTTTTTTCTTAAAGTTTTTGAATCTCCCGCATATTTGTGCATGCTTTTTCATGACGCATGCTTTACATTTTGTCCATCACTTTATTTTATAATTTGTCAAACTTTTCTTGCTGCTGGTTCATATTTTTTGAAATCTCCTAGTAAATCTCAATAACATGTAAAATAATTTTATATACAAGATATTGGATCTTCAAATATTATTCCTGTAGCATATTCATTACAAGAGCATATGAAGAGGCTGAAACGCGCTTTAAGCATTTTATTTATTGCAAGTAAAAATCGAACAAAGCAATTAAGCTTAGTTATATGTCGTGCAGTTATGATGTCAAACATTTTGACGTGAGGAGGGGGGGGGGGGGGGTCTATAATTTTATGGTATTTATATATTAAAACAGTTCAAACCGATATGTATTTTTTAATGAATGAAATGTTTTACATTGGGGAGGGGGGGGGGGGGGGGTGCTGAGAAAAGTATTATTTGCGCTACAAAATAAGTGAATACCCCATAACTTTTTTTACGTCTTTTTTTCCAAAATAATAAATAGAGAAGAAAGGGATTATTAGAGGAAAATTGAATATTTTGTTAAAATTAGGCATCACCCAAGTTAATCCAATAAAAAATTCTGCAAAATACTTTGGCATATAAAGTAGATTTGCATTATTATCATCCATTAATAAATTTTCAAGTTGAAAAAGGAACAAATTCATTAAAAGACAAACAAATAAAAAGTAATTTTTTTGCACTTAAGTCTGATAAGAAGTCAAAAACTTACATTTGCTCTATTTTCTAGCCATAGATTACAGAAATGTCTAGCCCATCGCAAGGAAAACGAAGGTACATTAAAAAAAATTTGACAAATAGAGTTTTTACCAAGGCTCCCGCAGATTATAATCTTTAAATAATCTCATTCAAAGATTATAATCTTTAATAATCTTCATATATTCAAAGATTATAATCTTCGTTTTTAAAAGATTATAATCTGTTGGAGCTTGGTTTTAACTTAATCATTTGCCAATTTATTATAATTTTACAGGATGGACACTGATGTGATAAAACTAATAGAGAGCAAACATGAAGTTACTCTTCTTGGATCTAATTTAAATGAATTCTGTGTAAAATTCTATGGTCCACGGGGTAATTCATAACATTTTTGTGCTATATATTTTTTTAAATATATTATGTTATTTTTAATTATTAGGAACTCCATATGAATCTGGTATCTGGAAAGTTCGTGTGCATCTTCCAGAGCATTATCCCTTCAAGTAATTATCTTTACTTAAATACATTTTGTAAAAATTAACGTTAATCCTCAATTAAACAGATCTCCCAGCATTGGATTTATGAATAAAATTTATCACCCGAATATTGATGAAGTGTCAGGCACAGTATGTTTGGATGTTATTAATCAAGCTTGGACAGCATTGTACGATTTATCAAATATTTTCGAGTCATTTCTTCCGCAACTTTTGACATACCCTAATCCTATTGGTAATTAATTTATTAAATTGGTGACATTAAACAGTTTGACTTCACAGTTCTCGAAATTCCTTTTTAGATCCTTTAAATGGAGATGCTGCAGCTTTATATCTTCATAAACCTGAAGAATACAAGAAGAAAGTTCTTGGTACCATAAACCATCTATGACATAATATTGATTACTTTATAATATCCTATGATGCTTTTGTTATAGATTACGTCAAACGGTTTGCAACAGAAGAAGCACTTAGAGATACTGAGAAGAATGATCAGAGTTCCGAAGATGAGAGCAGCATGAGTGACTTCAGTGAAGACGAGACAAAAGATATGGAGTTATAACACTTTTTCATTGTATATTTGTTTTAATTAAGTAAAATATTAAGAGTTTATAAAAATAAGTAAATTTTATTTATTCCTTTAACTCATTCAAAATTTATTGTGTGTTCTGAAAAACAATTAAAAATTGTGGAGATTGTGCCATTCATTCGAATTAGCTAAAGATTTGAATTTTTTATATCCTTGGTTTGATTACACTTCCAGATAAAAATATCTTCAGTGTGAATTAGACTTGTCTTGCTCATTTTATATTGGTTGTTATTGGTTAACAGCTTTACTTTTGAAACTGTATATGGAGTTCCCTCCCAACCTCCGAAGAACGAGGTTGTTGAATTGTGCATCTCTCCAAATTTAAAAGTCCTCATTAAGAAGCAAGGAACAGATAGGCAAAGGAAAGAACTCAACAAAGTCGCGATTTAATCAAAAATTTTGAGATAAATTAAAATTGAGCAAAAATGTTCAAATTTTTGCACATAATCTAGACAAAATTGAAGTTTAACTAATCGCAATACAACATACATAAAAAACAGAATCTGGATCATCGGCAATTGAAAGAAGAGTTTTTCTTGCAATTGGTTTTGTGTGTTTTCACAAAAATCGCGAGGAGGCTTTATCAATGATTTGGTGCTGACTGAACAAATTTCAACATTGTATAACTGAATTTGTTTATCTCGGAATCCAAATACATGTTTAATCAAGACATAACAAAAATTTGTCTTTTCGGAATACCACAGAACAACTTGATTTACATGAAGGACTGTCGAGGGATCTAGATTATCGACAATTGGAAATAAATTTTTGCCTGACAATGGTTTTTTGTTTTTTTGACTATTCGTCAGGCATGTTTTTGTCAACCATTTAACGTTGACTGGACCTTAATAAAACTGATTAAGAATGAAATTATAATGTAATTATTAAAGTAAAGTGTGACATAAACATTTTTAAAATTTTGCATGAAAAAGTCTTTTTTACCATGGTTTTTCTGGTCAAAGTGATTGAATGTTTTTGCCGATGATTTTATTTCGATAATTTTTTTTTAAAGGCGATTAAATCAGCACTTCAATGTAAGATAAAAAAAGGTTTTCTAAACAAAAAAAAAGTTTTAATCTGTTCCCGAACTACTGTATTTCATATCTGTTTACATGATACTGTTGCGTTTTCTTATTATTGCTAATCATGTTGTGCTTTTTCAGAGACTTGTTTAAATTTCATTTTTTAAGTTTGGTGCAAACTAGATAATTCTTTTTTAATTTTATATCCTATGTATCAGAGAGCAATAACCAAAGATTTGAATATACAGAAATTAATTTCGATATACTCAATACGAGATTTAAAAAAAAATTAATCTGAGACTAGGGTAGGCAATTTCGAAAACCTCGCCACTGACTCATCCAATCATCACAAATGGATGAGTGTATGTTTGAGTTTCAGCATCTCTTATCTCGTTTATAGTTTCTCGATTAGAAAGCTTTTCCGATGTGTGTGATCAAGAGTGTCCTCGTGATGTACTAGAAGCATAGCTATCGGCCTGTTTCACTAAGGTGGATTATCCTCATTTTAAGATTATCTATTTCTTCGATGCAAGGAAAATCCAAATAATTTCTTTCTGATGTAGGTTAATTGGTTAATAATAATAGTATATTAGTATATGGATTATCCTTAGATTATCCGAATTTTCAATCTTGGGAGGACCCAGTTTTAACATTTTAGAATAATTATGTGAATAATCCTAGGATAATCCATCTACTAGGTAAATCTTTTTTGTGAAATCCATGGTCAAAACAATATTACACCATGCAGTGTAACGAAGTAAAAAAAATGGATAATCCACCTTAGTGAAACAGGCCGTATAAGTTTTCTGATCCTGAATTCTTTTGAAACTGACAAAGCCAAATCAACATTTTTCTTATTGTAAAAATAAAGTAAATCAAAATTCTCATCACTTAGGGGCTGTTCACTTATTACGTAACGCGAAAAAATGACTTTTTAGACCCCCCCCCCCTCGTAACAAAATTTGTATGAAAAAAAAATTTCCTTGTTTGAACCGTAACAAAATCTTAGACCCCCCTCCCCCGTAAAAGCGTTACGTAATAAGTGAATGGCCCCTTACGTAATTTTTTTTTATCATAACCTTTAATGAGTTTAAGTCTTCTTGATAATATATTCCACAGTTTCTGATTTAATAAGCGCTAATAAGATATGAAAAAAGAACACCTTTACGAAGTAAAATAACACCGTCGCTTTTAAAAGAAAAAGAAAAGGAAATTCTGAAAATAAATTCAATAACATCAATCACTCAAGAATCCTTTTAGCCTCAATATTGAAACTATTCGCTCAAAAGTTTAATTCCTTATTTAAAAAATCTAAACTAAGCTGTTGCAGTTGTCATAGGAACTTTCTAATTAAATTAAATACATATCCACAAGTTTTTGAAAAAACTTCACTCTTTTCTTGCTTGACTTTTGTCATAAATTTATGAACAAGGAAATAAATTTTGATCGTTTTTTTTTGTACTTCATTAAATTTAATTTGTATAATTAATTGGTTTCACACGTTTTGGCATTTTTTATGTTACTTATTGCCTTACAAACAAACCATAATCACAGTATAATTGCCATTAAAGATTGTATCAAAACATTACGAATTCAGAATAAAATAAATGACGCACGTGTAAGAGATTATTTATTATTGACATGATGCTTTGATATGCAGGCAATTATCGGAAATACATATTAGGATGTAACTTTCAATGCTCAATTACAATTCTTTTATGTATACATTTTAGACTTAGAGATTTTTCTTCCGATTATTTGTCTACCCTTTTTGATTATGATATTTTTTTAAATAATAATTTTTTTGTTCATTAAAAAAGTTTTCTCGTTATTCTCAACGTTGGAATTTCCCTCGAGTAGGCGTGTGCGTTGAGCTGCAAAGAGTTCTTCCCATTGGTCTGGAATTTTCCAGTCCTCTATTTTTTAAAGAACAATGTTTGATTGATTTTTTTCTTCGTCCTTTATTCTCTGCATTGCTGTAGGTGTAGCTTTTAAATATGAGAAAGGAGGAGATTTTTTTCATAAAGACTTTTCTTTCTGTTAACTAAAAATAATGATATTTTTATTCTGTTAAATAAAATCAAGATTTAGTTTGTTCTAGCAGTTCTTCAAAGTTAGATACTTATCAAGATTATTCAAAATTGATCGGTTTGAGTGAAAAACAAAGGATTTTTTGGACACTTATTAAAAAAAAGGAAATAGTTTTATTGAAAATTTTAAAAAAGTTTTAATTATTGAGTGTGATGGAAAATACAGCAACAAATCTGTTAGATACAAATGAAAAAAGGAACAACTTTAAACGTACAAATGAATCACCAATAATATCTAATAGCAATAGTAAAATATCTAATTTTAATGTTCGTTCAAGAACGCCTTCAAGTGATGAAGGATCTCATAAAGTCATGTGTCCAAAACCTAATCAAGTTTCAAATGTCGTTTTATATGGAATACCAATAGTTTCTTTGTTCATTGAAAATCAAGAACGTCTTTGTTTAGCACAAATATCAAATACACTTTTAAAGCAATTTAGCTATAATGAAATCCACAATAGACGTGTTGCATTAGGAATTACTTGTGTACAGGTTAGTTCAATTAAATAATTCAAAAGCGATTAAAGTTTAAATAAACAAAAATTTAAATAACTTCAAAGGTTTGAAGAACTGCCCGATTTGAAGTCTGCATTGTAATTTAAACTGTTTAAAATTTAAAATTGTGAAAGTTAAAAGTTGAAATCAAAAAACTAGTGATACACTTGTGATTGCTTATTCTTGGTTCAATATTGAAAATCGACGGGATTTACTTCAATAAAAATTAAAACTTTTATTAAATGATTCAAAATCTTTTGATGTTTCTTATTTAAAATTTCGATTAAAATTTTAATATCTTTAATTGGTAAAATAAATCGATAAAATACTTGAGTGTCATTAATCATTATCTTTTTGAAGGCACCCCCCCCCCCCCCCCAAAAAAAAATACTAATACTTGAATCTTCTTATAAACATATATTATTTAAAAAAAGACTAATTTGATCTTGAATGTCCTTTAATCAAGTTTGATAATTTTCTTGGTTCACTACAATTTACCTCACTTAATTATGTCACTTAATTCTTAAAATAGTGTACACCCGTGCAATTGGAAATTCTAAGGAGAGCAGGAGCAATGCCAGTTTCGTCAAGAAGATGTGGAATGATAACAAGAAGGGAAGCTGAAAGATTATGCAAATCATTTCTTGGTGATAATTCTCCTCCGCGTTTACCAGATGATTTCTCATTTCTGGTATATCATGAGTGTGCATTTGGATGTCGTGGTGCATTTTTACCATCGCGCTATAATTCATCAAGAGCAAAATGTATCAAATGCACTTATTGTGGACTATTCTTTTCACCAAATAAATTTATTTTTCATTCTCATCGAATGTCACAAAATGACAAATATGTTCAACCAGATGCTGCTAATTTCAACTCTTGGCGACGGCATTTGAAGTTATCAGGTTCACCTACGGAAAATATAGCTTATGCTTGGGAAGATGTAAAAGCAATGTTTAACGGTGGAACAAGGAAGCGTTTAATATCTCCAAGCTCATCACATCATGGACAACACAGTGCAAAAACGGATATATCTCGAAAATCAAAAGAAATGCAAAACTATAGTCCACAATTCCCAGCAAGATCGTCGGCACCACCAATTCAACAAATTCCAAGTCAAACAACACCAAATGAACCACCTGTTAATAATCCACCATTAAATGAAGCAACATCTCCAATAAAATCAGCAGCTAATTCGTCAGCAGGATTTCACCAAGATCTCCCATTTTCTTTGTCACATTATGTGTGGCATTATCAACAACAAACACAATCGATTTCTTTAAGTACTCCAACAAATCCAAATAAAGGAAATAATTTCCAATTCCCAACTCTTAACTGGATAAAACAACAACAACCAGCAGCCCTTCCTCCATCATTCCTATTCAAACCGAATGGCACTTCAATTGCACCAGTAAATGCATTATCAAAGGATGAAAAGCCACCCTCAACTTTCAATCATTTTCATTCCGCTGCATTTAAACCCGTAATCAATATGAGATTATCAAATGATGAAAGCAATGTTTCAATTCCAAATCAGAATCATTCGCCAACCTCTTCAACAAATCAAAGTGACGATGAGAGATTAACACCAGCAAAAAAGTTTTTGAATCATATTAAATATGGCAAAGAAAAGGAGAGTGATATAAATACTAATGAGAATATTATGCATGAAGATGTGAAACAATATGACCAAAGTGTCGAGTATGATTCCAAAAATGATTCACAAACGGATGATGAGAATGAGATGGTTGACATTGAATCGACAGAGGATGATGTTAATATTTTAAATCTTCAGTCATTTCATTCAAACAAGTCCGAAAAGGATGATGATGATGATGAAGAAGAAATAGAGGTTGATGAGAAGGTTGAAAAGGTTGAAAATAACAACACCACACCATACAAATTAAAGAGTTCGATAAATTCCTTAACTGATATCACATCAAACATTGAAATGCAAGAAAATTACTTCCTCAAGAAGAACTATGTGAATTTTTCAAACGTAAACGAAAAGGAATGGCAATTAAAAAAGGAGGTGAATATCGGATCAATTATTTTTATTTTATATCAATGAAACTATTTTTTGGAGCCATTATCAGATACATACATACAGAGACATACGATAAGTTTTTTATATTGACTAGTTAATATGCTGTAATTTGAGGATATTTTCAGATAGGAGGTCTTTTACAAAATTAAATGCCCTTTATTTTCTTCATACGCTACTACTCGTTACTAAGCTATTAGTGAGACCAAAAAAAATGCTTTTTTACTCTATTAAGCTACTAGCTTATAAAGCCAAAACAATTCTAATTATCTATCAAGAATTTTAAGAAACAATAAAATTCGTATTTACACATTTTAAACTAAATCGGCTTCTCGATTCAAATCACTTGCTTAAAGAAGTCATCATTTGCCTCCTTAAACTCAAGTTTATAACCAAAAAAATTTCACTATGAAGATATTAGTCAAATATGAGTAATAGGAAGTTTGGAGAAACTTTTTAACATAGGTTTTTAATTTTTTGTAAGAACAGAACAACTTATGGCGGATTGGTTATTCGTTTTGGAAAAAATTGGTTTCGTTATAAAATCAGTCTGAATATGCTAGTAAATTACAAAATTTAAGATATTAAAGAATTATAATTTGATTTGATGTTTAAATATTCTACTCAAAGTTTGAATTTAAATCTCAAAATAATTGAGATAGTTTTTTAAACTTAACAAAATTTTAAATATTTAACTGATTCAGATTTTGAATTTAAGCAATTTCATTTGTTGTTCCGCCGCATAGTTTTTAATAAGAATAGAAAAGTATTTCCTTCATTACTTCAAGATTTTCGTATGAATAAATGTTGCAAAGTTGATTTATAAAAACCATAAAAACCTCAAATGAAATGAGGAGAAATGTCTGAATATTCAAATTTAAATGGGAAATGAATGACTTAAATTTTAAGGATTATTTTGGCATTTAAATGTCTAAATAAGGAAGATAGCAATCTGGTAGAGATAATTAGACTATAACAAGCTATCAAATTGCATAAAACAAGTCGAAAATGTATGTGAATTCATGTCACGTAAAAATGGTTTCAAAATGATATATTTAATGTAATTTCTTTCAATTTGTTCAAAGCAAATCGTAGTCAAAATGAAGCACGATTTTTCTCAATCGTTTTTGTTAACTTAGAAATGAATCTCATGAGAATTGTATTTTTTATTTCTTCCTTATTTTTTTCACAGTCCAATAGACATAATTCACCCTCAAATCACGTTCATAAGGCCTATACAACTCCTGCCAAAACTGATGGATGTAAACTCTGGTCTGTTGCAAAGTTATCATTGGAATGTGGTAATAATATTTGTGATGACACATTAAGATCATCTCTTTTCAAACGATTGAAATCTTTTCAACAAGTCGATACAGCAAACGGCTCGTCATCATACAATTAAAATAATCTCTCCTGCTGTGAAGGAAGATCCTGGTTTAAGATCGATTTAATTATGCAATATGTATATTGTTTGAGAATTATATATATATATATATATATATATATATACAAAATATTTTTACTTAATACTACTCTATCATTAGATTAGAAGAGAAGCTTTAACTTTTATCCTACTTTACTTCTTTTCTGAAAAAAAAGAAAAGTTTGTAAATATATTTTGCTTTAACAAGTCTTTATTTGGTTATTTGGTACGCAAGAAATTATAATCATAAATCTGTTATCTTTTATTGTTTAACACAATCATAATGTACATATATAATAACATTGCAATAAAGGAAAATAAACCCTCATTTGTTAGTAACCCCTCTGAAGTTAATCGAAAATGCCAACAATACTCACAATAAACATATACAGTTTGTAAGTATTATCGTATTATTTCAATTTTGTTATTTCATGAAAATGCGTAACAAGTTACTTGTCATTTAATTTTCAATTGAAAATGAAGTGCATAAGGAGATGGAGGAAATGTAAAAAATAAATAATGAAGAAAAGGAAGATTAAAATAATTGTTAAAGATGTAAACAACTTAATCGGATCTAATCCACTTTTAATTTTAATTGAATCCTGAAATGAAGTTATTTGGATTTCTTCTCTCATTTTCTTCTTATTCTTCTACTTTGCCACTCCACTCATTCGATAAGTTCCTTTTTTAAACAGCTCAACAATTTTTTTCGCTTTCTAGGTCATTAATAATTAATTTCTACAAGGAAACAAGTGGAATAAAAATCGTCTATCAGTTTCAATAATTAAAGTAATTAAATGAGTAAATAACAACATATTTGTTGAAATAATTACATAAAGGATTAATGAAGTCATGACGCATTTAATGTTAAACTCAATTTCTAAAAGGGAAAATTAAAATTATATTGATTTTGTAATTTAACAGCCAGCGGAAAGCTTATTGTTATTACACAAATACGATTGTTTTACTCATTCCTTTTTAAATCTTTTGAAAATTATGCTTTTATTCCATACACTTTACATAATTGTTATTAGTCATTTCTAATTATAGAGATAGTTCTAATTGTTATCACGGGAAGCACTTCAAATAGTTATTTACCATTTATTTCGCAAGGAAAATATGAACATCAAATTAAATTATTCCAATCTGGTCTGCAAATTGGAATGTTAAATCTGATACAATGTCATCAATTTTATGTCCGGCGGCAAAGCAATATATTAGCATGGAAATATTTTTATGCAGCATATGTCAAAATAAAGGATGATTGTATTTTGTTTTTTTGCTTGTAAAATAGATTTAACTAGGTATAGGCCTTATAAATGTTAAAATTGACTAATCTTTTTTTTTGATTATTTGCTATAGAACCTTAATAGGTAAGGGGCCATTCACTTATTACGTAACGCTTTTAGGGGGAGGGGGGGGGGTCTAAGATTTTGTTACGGTTCAAACAAGGAAATTTTTTTTTCATACAAATTTGGTTACGAGTGGGGGGGGGTCTAAGAAGTCATTTTTTCGCGTTACGTAATAAGTGAACAGCCCCTAATAGGTTTTGGCTCAATCTGTTAAAAACAATAAAAGTGAACTGCATAAGTGAAAACATTAGCGTTGAACATAACTGACTTATAAATTTGACTTGGTCAACAACTTAGCCACGAGCCAGGATTTATTTTTTTTTAAATTTTCGAATATTTTTGAATAAACTTTCTTTGGGACTTTCAGACCCACCTCCCTGTTTATTACAAATGTTTTGCAATATCCCAAACCCTCCCCAACACAAAAAACCAAATTCAGTTCATTTTTTTAGAATTGGATCTTAAATTTAGATTCAATTTAAATAAATAAAAAATAGTTTCCTTTAAATCGTTCATATTAACTACCAATAATCATACATCTTTAAGTTAATACCCAAAACTGTTTGCTCTAGCACCCCTAGTTTTTCGGGAATCACAAAGAATATTAAATTTCTATCTATACTCCTTTAATGTATAATAAGTTGAGGTTTCAACACCGAATACCGGTATTAGGTGTTTTTGAAAACCGGTATTAAGTAAATCATGTATGATTAAACCTATAAAAGTTTAATAAAATAAATTTAGCCTAATTTTGTGACTTGTAGTGCAATTTTATTTAAATTTCAAATATCGATATTGAAAACATGGTCTGATATTTAAACCCTAATTAAAAAGGATGTTTTTTTCTGTGAATTCCAAAGTATTAATTAAAGAGATGTTCCTCTAATTAAAGAAATTCCGGAATCATAAAGATGATCCCATTGTGATGAAAGTTCTCTGGAAAATTCATTAAGTAAAGCGGTGAATGGCTAATGAAACAAATCAAATTCATTAATTAAGTGGACAATTGCAATTACCTCCAACCGTAGTCTTTATTTGTAATTATTGTTCTTATCATTACTGATTGATCAATCAACCACTCAAACAGCCCGTGAACTTAATTAATCGACTAAAATTTCACTTTAATGAAAATCGACTCTACCTTCCCTCATAATTTTCATATTTCAATTGCTTGCCTTTCAATTTAATTACAATAAATGCATTGTTGCAATCGATAATATACATGACTTGTTGAAAGTCACACTTGAAACATTCGCCTTTATTTGTTTTATGAGCGTGTTGAAATTATTTCACGCATACTTTATTTACTTCATCAAAAATATTATTTTTAATGAAATAAAAAGAAACTGAGCATACATACATACCTATAAAAGAAATTGAATGAGTTTTTTTTTCATGCAATTTCTCTAAATTAAGTCATATTAAATGGAAAAAAGGTACAATAACTCACCAATAAAAGTGAATTGAGCTTTTTTCCCACTGGAAGGAAAGTAGGCGTTGCCATTTTACTTTCCAATTTGTTCTTGCTTGCTTACAACTTCTCTTTCAGATAGTTAAAATAATTGAATTTTGTTTCATTTTTTGTTACACAAAATGTGATTAATTTTTGTTCTTATTTTCGTCCTTATATTTACGAAGCACGTAAAAATATGTATATCTAAATTAATATATACCTAACTTATAATAAAAACATGTTCACACAATTGAATTGAATTATGTTCGTGCCAATAAGCTGAAAAATTAATAAATTTGACTGTATTCTATACAAAATCAATTAACTTTTCTAAAATTAATACATTCATTTGGGGACGTGAATGATGAAGCCATTGACGCAATTAGGGAAAGTCCCCCACCCCCCTCTAAAAGTTAAGGGGTTGCAAATTCTGAACTGATGAATATTCTGAATCATGTAAGCCTCCAAACTACAAATAACAAAAATTTTGGTTGTAAAAGGAAGCTATTAGCAGAGACAGTATTGCACTTTACTGAAAAATGGCGAGCGTGTGTATTATGTATGCTGGAATAAGGAGAAAAAAGTTTGAAGTAGTTCTTCGAAGCTGTGTTCAGAATGAAAGAGCCCCCTTACACTAGACTACGAGAGAGATGTTAAAAAAATGTGTAAGAATTTAAATTTTTAATTTATTGTGTTTTTCATCTGTTTAGGACAGAGAAAATCCCTCGAGAGACTCGCTGAACTTTAACTACTTGTAATTTGTATTCAAATTACATTGTGAATCTCTTTGACATTTAACAGTAATGATTATATGCAAGTAAATTATTTTCTCGTTACAATGACTGACTTTTTATTTTGTCATTCAACTTTATGTCTAGTATCATTTGTGAGATTGAATCAATTTAAATTTATATAGACTTCCTAAAATAATCCTAATACACTGTACGTACATTCAAGTAGATTTTTTAAGATCCTTAGATTTTTTTTATTGAGGCTGATTCAAAATTTAAATCACAATTGTGCTCACTTGAGCGTAAAAAGGCATGTGGAATCACATTAATTCAATTTATTTCGAGTATGGGATTTTCTCATGGGATTTGTTTATTTTATTGCAATAACTACACTTGTCATTATATATTTTTGCGAACATAGCAAAATTGATTTTTGCATTATTGAATAAATTTAATTATAGTGAAAATAATCGGTTAAGCATCTAATTAGAAACACTTTCATTTTATAATTACGATATTATTACCAGTTTCTTTGAAAATGCATAGATACTTATGAAATCGCTTCTTAATGTTCTCTTTTCTCTTGTGAATTTTAAGATGGATTTCTTGAATTAATCAACTTTACATAAATAAAGAATCACAACATGAAATTATAAAACTATAGAATCATTTTGAAATGAATTAGATCTGCAAGAGGATTTTCAATAGAATTGCCTTAAGTATGCTTAAACGAATGTTGCAAATTTTCAAGAATACCGCAAAATAAGATGGTGATATTAGAATACCTTAGGGAAACCTGTCCTTTATTGATTTTATTTTAAAATAAAAAAATAAATCGAACTGGATGTTTTGTATCTATTTTAAAGTATTCAAATGATTGGGTCAGTCATTGACTAATTTGTTTGAGATGGGTAAAGTACGACAATTGAGTCAACATTAAAAATTGATAAATTAAGAATTGCAAAAATTTAAAAAATGCTCTACAGACGAAAGTCTTTCGTCATCTTATACTTAATCACGCAAATAATAAGTTTCTGTAAACATTTTAACAGGCGCGTAGCCAGGGGGGATTTTGGGGACAAATCCCCCAACGTAAACAGAAATTTCTTTATTTTGCTAGGGTTTTTATGAAAAATTCACAAAAAATACCCCCCCCCCCCCCCTCTTCAAATTCCTGGCTTGTTGAATGCCTTTATTTTGATATCTTATATCCAAAAGAATTGCAACTCATAAGAATTTTAAAAAATTGGTCCTTTTTAAGGAAATGAGTTGATTACTTACAAGGACAAGAAAGAATGCTTAAAATATTTGTGGAGTAAAATGATATTCAAAAAGGAAGGACACCTACCTAGTCCTATTATTCCCACTTCCTGAGAAATATGATAAGAGCCGAAAAATCAGATTCTTAGAAAATTTTTCAACACTTTGTTGCTTCCTCTGTCGTAGATTTTCAAAGAAATCATTTAAATGTATTTGTGAATATATAAAGAAGGAACAAGAAACAATTTGGTGTTTAGTGCGAATTTAGTTTTAGAATAGTAAAGACATGCATTTACCTTTAGGTTGTTTAGTTTTTTTCTTTATTTTACAAAACTCATACTGTGAGGAATTGCCTGTGAAATATGTGAGTTTAAGAACAGTCGACAGTTTAGGAAGAACAATTCCAAGACTCAGTCAGCAAAATTTACGAAATTATAATGGACCAATAATCCTTAAAAGAGATATTCCCAATAATGTCATATTGATCCAAAGTGACTTCAAACAAATGCCATCAATAAAAACTGCAAGGCTCGATGAATTCTACAGCACAAAGGAATTTAATGATTTATTAAAGGAATTTAAATTGAATATCGATAAAAATAAGCTGCCAGACATAAAAGATGTTGCATCATTTCTTGGCACAACTAATAGTGAGGATACATATAAGGAAATTCGTGACTTTGCTAGTACAGAGGATGGATTGGACATAATAAAAAGTTATTTTCAACAAAACTCAGCAAGTGATAGAATGGATGATATTTTCAATATTTTCAATACTCAGCCAAAGGCAAGCATGTTTCATTCAGATTCAGATTATAGAGCCAATGGTGAAAATAATGAAAATAGTTCGTGGTGGGATAAATTGATTAAATGGTTTGGACTTAGTCAATCAACAAAAATTGATTCTGCGAAAAATGATGTGGAAATCTTTTCATCTATAGTGCCATTATCGAATTCAGTTCCAAAAAATGTGAAATACATTGGAAGTTTATTCAAACCTCCACCGAACACTGAAATTCCAATTAATCCCCCATTTAAAGTATTTAATTCCCATTCAATTAATTTAAGTAATCAACCATACTCTGTCGATGTAAAAACGCTTCCAACTATTCGGATGACAGAACATCAATATAATGAAATGATGAAATCTGTTAATTTAAATTCACAAAAATTGGCTAAAAATGAAGCAATGAGACGTGTTGGGGATTCATCAAATAAGGAATTTATTGAAGATCAATTTAAACCTTCCGATATCAAAAGAAGCTTCTCGATACAATCCGATCCTATTCGTCATACATCATACGACCTTCCCACTGGTTCCCATTATAAAGCAAATCCTGATTATATTGATAAAATTTCCAAAATTCTTTCTGAAAAATATGGTGAGTAATTGTTGGCAATTAGTTGCTAATTGGTTTTTAAATGCTTACAATTTCTGTTTGTTGACTTATTTAGATGACAAACATGTTGTTTCGGCAGTTTCTGATCTTACAGTTCAACAGCACTCTCGACTTTAAATCAAACATACTGTAAGGATGCATACTATTGGATATAAAAATATTTTAATTAAATGGAGAACTCTACTCGATGGCATGTCTTAGCTAGAGGAGAAGGAGATATTTTTGGAGTGTCACACATAATTAGTGTTCTTCTTTCCCTGACAGTTGGTCGTCATTTGTGATAAACCTCTTAACCCGATTTTTATTTTAATTAATTTAATTCAGTAAATTTTAAAAATTCATCATGGAAAAAATAGTTGCTGAAAATATTCAAAAGCCTAAGGTTATATCATCTTTATGACTTAAGGATTTGAGTACTGGTGTTATCTTGACGATATGTTGTAGTAGACAAATAAAGAAAACTGAATTTGCTGAAATCGTTTTAATTTTCCATTTCATATGATCGTAAGTGGTTCATTGCTGACCACTCTGATCATGTGAAGTTGTAGAAAACAAAACATTTGCTAATAAACAGTAAATATCCACAAAAATTTGTTTTATTAAAACTATAATTATTTATTTCTCAATGAATTTGTAATATATAATTTTTACACATTATCGCTATTCATAAAGAAAAAGAATAAAAGTTTTCACAACCATTAAAATGGTATTTTCTTGAAATTTATGTTTTCTAAGCTTTCTCTTTATCCACACTTGCTTTATGAATTGAATTTAAAATGTAACAAATGTATCAGGTAAGATTTTTTTTTTATTTCGTTCTCAAAGAGAGGAATGTTGAACTTTCGGGAAAATCTCAATTATTATTTTTTATATTATTATGAAAGGAATCAAATTTTGGATCACTGAGTATTTTATAGTGATGTATGAAGTACAACAGTTTTGACTAGAACTGTTCTTTAAATAAGTAGAGTTGCGATAAAATTTTAAGTTTATAGTCTGACATATCAAAACATATTACGTCTAACTGCAAATTTTTCCAAAACATTTAATATTATCCATGATTGTGGATGCAAAAAAAGGAATTTTTGTCATTCTATGGCATAGCATAGATTACAGGAAACCAACACATTTGAAAATATTAATGAGATTTAAAAATTAATTGTCTGTGGCAATTAAAATGTGCTGTCTTGAGCGTGCTATTGAAATCTTTTGATTACAATTTTGCATAGAAGTTGCTAAATTATCATTTTGAGGAACTAGGTTTTTATTAATTCTAATATTTTATACACCCAAATTTAGATAAGTTTTCAATAGTGTTATAGTTCCAAGATTTGTGAAATTAATATTTCACTGCTTCGATCTGGAGATCAACAATACTCAATTGACACATGATGTGCCATCGCAATCCCAAATTAAAGATTTTTAATGACGAAGCTTGACGCTTAAAATTTATATTTTAAATGAGTTTAATTAATTTTTGAGGTTTAAAAAATACAAAATGTAGACTACATAAAAATTATAAAAAGTAAAATTACTTCCTCTACGTTGGCACCTCGGTTGTAAGGCAATTTCCCAAATTAAAATGGAATTGCTAAAGGTAAAACTTTTGCGTTAATTATAATAAATTAATAAACAACCTTATACGAGTTTTCAAGTTATACAAAAATATAGATTAAAATATAAAGTACGGAACTTTCTTATAACGATGATATTCAGCTCACCATTAAATATTAAATTAAATTAGCACTATTTTTAGATTTTTCACAATTTTCAATTCATAAAATCTTATCAGTGTGAATAGAAGTAGTCCATAAATGGTCAAGTTTTGCTTTCCAATATTTGATATTATTCTCAAGCGAAGGACTTTTCATAATTTTTTAAAAGAAATTGGGATAATTTTCGGTTTTATTCTGGGGTAGTTCTAATCTATTTAATTGAATCTTATTTATATTCTGTTATTATTTGATGAACAATTAAACCTTAATTGAGAATATGTGATCGGATTGAGGATCAATCAAACTAATCTCATTTCAAAATCTTATTTTGCTAGTCCTATTAAGTTTTTAATTAACTTAATCTTTACATGTTCAGCATTTAATTCGTTTTTGTTGCTGTGCTTTCGGATATTTAAAAAATTTTCATTTAAGTTTGTGTAATACTCAGTAGTACCACTCAGAATATTCACATAGTCAAGTATAGATCTAATCTCTAATATATTCAGGATAAACATACCCTAGAACACTCCCGTAAAATGGCCCAGAAATATAATTTTTGTAAAGTATTGTACAATATTTATAACAGTTTTAACTCGCGTGAATGTATTACTTGTTGGGATTATAAAATTCAATTACGTTACGAAGTTACAATAGAAATGAGCTATCGAGAGCGTACAAGCCATTCGATGATCAATTTTAAAACAAACATAATATATAGTTTCGGAACGAAAACCATTGACATGTGGCCTAATTTATTTTATGCGAAATTTATGAATTTTGAACTTGGGTCTTGTGCGGAATTTATTTTCTTCACAGGCGCGTGAAATTTATTGATATCACCTTGAATGCATAGTCTGTGCTATGACTTAGAAAATATCACTTTCCAATATTTGAATAAAAATGTATATAATAAGGACGTACATGACTCAGTACATTTTTGATGTATTTAAATAAATTTTGTGACCTCAAAGTGACAAATACGCTCATCAAAAGTCAAATCGATATAAATTTGTTTTATTTCTAACTTTGTGCATTGAATGATATCTTATAAGCATAAGATATATCTTTTATATATATTGTGTCTTGAAATTTATTTTAAAAACTTTTTCTCATTTTTTTTTTTTGTTTTTTCGTTTTAAAGTAAATAACTTTTCGCTACCATTGATACATTAAAAATTCATAACAATCACAGTGAAACATTAAATAATAAAATTCCAACAAGAAATTATCATCATATCAACAGACACCTAATATATTTATTATCTTATGCATATCTGATAAAGATTTATGATTTTTTTTTTTTGTTTTTTAAACATCGAAACATTTTTTTTTTTCATTTAATTTTCTTCATTCTTTAATTATCTTACACGATTATCAATAATTTTAAGCGCATTTTTAAACTTGTTTCAACACTCGTTTGTTCGGGGCATATCAAAAACTTTTTAACCAGTCATGATAGAGAGCTTGGGTTTGTGTTTTTAGATCAGTTTTATCGAGTTATTGCCGATCGAAAAGTTAGAAAGTAATTTCAATACAGATCAATACAAAAAATTTTCTGAATTCAACAATAACATTAAATGATAAATCATGTTGAATTCAAGAGTTTTTATTGGAGGAGATTCGATTTGATTAAGATTTTTCAGGTTTGGCTTTTGGCTTTACCAAATGTGTAATATTTGTAAGTTACAGCAAAGAAGCTTTGCTAATGGTAAACTTTTGAAGCTATTGCCTAGCGGGAGCTACTTGCAATTTTCTAGTCTTTCTATTCTACTAATTGCAATTTACTAGTTATTATTAAAACAACTTACTGTTAGTAAATTACACTTGCTATTTACTAGCAACTTACAAGCAAATTACCATGTGAAATGTTTGATCAAATCTGCTTAAGTTCGAACCCTACGAAAAATCATCAAAAAAAGAATTTTTTGCGTCATAAAAAATTTTGTTCTAAATTTGGCATTTGCCATATACTTCAAAAGAGCACGCAGAAATCACCTTTATAACGTCGGTCCAAATTTTTATGTGACTTTGAATTAATTATTTATCTTTCTCAATAATTTACTTTACTAAGTGCACACTAATACTTTTACAATAATTTACACAAATAAGAAAAATCAAAAGAACACTTGAAAATCAACGGATTTATTCATTTAATTTTTTTACAAATTTGCTAGTAAATTACTAGTTAAATTGTAAGCGAATTGACTAGTAAATTAGCAAGTGGAAATGCGGGTCTTTGGCGATGATTTGAATTTGGATTTTTACTAGTAAATAGCAAGTAGCAAATGGAAAGTTATCCAGTAAATTACTAGTAAATTTCTGCTAGGGATTCGCTTATTGACTAGCATTTTTTTGCTAAAAAATACTGATCGCTGCGTCAAAAATGCGGTAAAGTCCCTCGATCAATAACACGAGGACTTTTGTAATTTTTTTTTTTTATTCAAAAGAATTTCAGAGAGAATTTAAAACAACGTGTCATGACAATAGAATATCACAATTTGATATAAGTTTTCTTAGTGATAGGTTTGCAAAAACGTACAAATTATGATGAAAGTCAAGAGAATTCTTATGAGAAAGTTTCTGAGATTGCTTTGACAAAAATAAGGAATCGGAAGCTCTTAAAAAATTCGAGTTTCATTTCTTTATCAACAATTTGTATATATGGAATATTTTTTTAAATTTTTGAAGAAATATTTTTCATTATGAGAGCAAAAATAACTTTTTTTTTCTTTTCATTATTCATTAATGATTTAGCGTTGATAATTGGCTTTAAAAATTATTAATATTATTTTTATGTGTTTGAGAAAATATTTTCGAGGAATTTTTCAGAAATAGTTTGTAAATAGAAGTATATAGAGAGATAATAATAAAGTTTCATTAGGTTAAAAATGAATTTCACAAAATTTTTACTTTAATTAAATTTACTTTTAATAAATGACATTTGCATGCTTCATTGTAGCAGTTGAATGAACTGTCGATGGCATTGTAATTATTTAATTAATCACTAGTGGGATCTTTAATAAGACACCAGAGAAAGAGTAAATGTTTAATTAAAATAGAAATTTGAGAAATCCTAGAAGGAAACATGCTCGAGATTAAATAGAAACGATCACAACGAGAAAGAAAAGAAAATTAAGATCTAAGTTTGTTTTTCAACATCATTGCGTGTTATTGTATTGTTACGGCTTGAGCCTCCGCTATTTAAAGCCATTCGTTGCATTTGCCTGATGACTGTAGTTGCATGATATGCTTGCTGAAATTTATTGAAACAAATGAGTATCGTTTATGCTTATGTCTATTAGAAGCAATAAATTTTTAGCAATTTACCTTCCACCTAGATTTTGCAAAGTTCTTTTTCAGCTGCTCAGACACAGTACTATGAATATTTTTACTGCTAGCTGCGTTACCGGATATCCTTTAAAATGCATACAAAAAGTGATATTTTTTTTATGGACATTAAATTGAATTTTCTTACCATGGATGTGCTAGAGCTTGCTTGCAGGTATATCTTTTCTCCACGTCTACGCACATCAAGTGCTGGATAAAATCTTTTGCTGAAGCACTTATCTCGTCCCAATATGGCGAGTCGAATTCAAATTCACCTTTATTAATCAAACAGATTCATCACAGAATTTTTTTAAAGTTAATGTGTTTGAAAAAAAGATGTACCTTTTAATATTTGTGCAAATAAATTAGCATCATTTTCATCATAAAACGGAGGATAACCGCATAACAATATATATGAAATTACTCCTATTGACCAAACATCAACAGCTTTTCCATATCTTAAATATATGATGAAAAGACAAAGAAAAAAAAAATTGAATTTATCTTCCTTACAATTTTCTATATAAACATATGTAGGTGTAAGGGATCTCACACATATGATATCCAATTTACAAATGTTTGGATGTCATTTGTGAACGACTTCTTCTATGAAATATGTTTTAATGATAATAATAATAATTTTGCAACATACGGTTTCTGTGCTAACACTTCGGGTGCAACGTAGCCTATAAAAGTATGAATAGTTAAGCAAAAGCAATACATGACATGTTTTAATTCATACCAGGGGTTCCGCAAGCAGTTGCCATAATTCCTGAATCTTCCATTTTCGATAGACCAAAGTCACTAATCATGATTTTGCTTTCTTCATCTGTGTTGTAGTAAAGCAAATTTTCTGGCTTTAAGTCTCTATGTACAACTCCTTGTTCATGCATATAGTCCACCGCCTCGAGAACTTGTCTCATTAAACCAGATGCATCCTTCTCAGTATATGATCCCTTTTCAACAATTCTATCAAACAATTCTCCGCCAGTTACTCTGTCAATTAATAATGTACATGATACATAGAATACAAAATACCATAAACGTGACATGCTTTTCACTTACAATTCCATCACTAAGTAAACTTTCGTTTTATCCTCATATGTTTCTAAGAGTTGCACTATATTTGGATGTGTCAATCTATTGATATATACATAAAAGAAGTAACCAAGTTGCAATTTTGCTTCATATAAATTATTAGATGGAAATATAAATTCATGTTCATATATATATTTGATGTATGGCAATCCTACCCATTTATCTTGCATTAATTTATTTTATTATTTATTCATGTTATTATAACAGAGACATAAAAAATCATCTTCAAAACCACCACAAGCTGTACATACTTTATAATTACTTACAAAGAAGAAAAAGTAAGTGTAAGTGAAGAAAAGTTTTATAAAAAAATTGTGTAGAAAAAAATTTAGAATATTGAAATTAAAGGAAACTTAATTAAGAAAATTAACTTAATAATTGATAAAAATGAAGACATGATAGATATACAGAGTAATAAAAAAATGAAGAACAAAAAAAAACTAAAAAACTCACTCACCACGGTTTTCGGTTTGGATCATTAGTATCGCTCATTGCCGAGAACCTGTTCGTAGAAGATAGAGATAGATAAAATAAAAGAAAACAAAAGCTCCGATGTAATGAAGCATACAAGGTCTAAAAGATTTCAAAATAATTGTTCTACGAAAAACGAAACTAAGGAAAAATATATAGACTCTATAAAAAAATAATAATGAAAAGCTAGAATTACTTAAAATTCAAAACTATAAATGTTGCAAAGAAAAACAAACGAAAAAAATTATTCAAATTCAGGACTCAGATATGGGAAACATGCATTTTAAAATTAAAAAAAAAGTCTTTCACGTGTGAATTTTACAGTCTTATGTTAATTTACTGTTTGGTATTATTTAAGGTAAAATTTAGATCTACATGGGGTCATACTTTTTAGGAAAAAGGAATAATTTACAAGTATCTTTCCTAAGACCTTAAAATATACATGGTTATCTTGATTGAATCACAACAATTCAAAAAATGTTTTAATGTTATTCATGTTATGAAAAACAGGAAGTCAGGTAGGATTGATAAATTATGTTGCAGCAAGGAAAAATACCTTCTGAGAACCTTTATCTCATTTTCCAGCGAATCCTCTTTTCCTTTAAGTGCTTTTTTGTCGATAATCTTCACCGCGAATAATTGACCTGGATTTTCTTTACTTTCACCAAGTCTAACTTCTGAAAAGGCACCACTGTAAAAAGATAGATGGATAGAAAAGAGAGAGTGAGAGATGAAAGAGATACTTTATGTTGAGTATGTTGACTAAATTGATCAACTTGAGCAATAGTACATTAGCATGAGAGCTTGTAAACGAGATCTTTTGACTGGGACGATACACAAATACATGCAAAAGGGTAGACTTATCGCATTAACATGTTTCGTCTTTATAAGGAAATTCATGAGATGACTTTGAAAGTTTATTTATAAGTCATATGTTATTACACCCTATACATTTATATTTTATTGAATTCTGAATGAATAATTAAAATTAGCACTTTGCTATAAATCCGAAAAATCAATTTGTAGTTTGAATTAAATAAGAAAGTTTCATGCATGTGATTTTTCACAGATTAGACGGTAATCTTCTCAAATGCTTATCACCTAGTCAGTCGTGGCAACCTTGATTCGGACAATCAATCGATTAAGAAGGAGAAATGATGATACACATTTTCTAATGCTGTTATGATTCTCAATTGAGCAATAACTCGACAAACCAGTCAATTAGCCAGCTAGCCCAGTCAGTAAAAAAGACAAAATTTTAAATTAGAAAGTGCCACATAATGTGTATCATAGACCGACCGATAGACCTTTTATGGCTTTTTCGTGAGACACGTTGAAATGACAGAGTTCAATGAGGTAACAATAATATGTGTATTTTTACTTTTACATGAAAGATTAAAGTCAATCGTATCTTACAAGTATGAGAGATGATGATGAAGAAAAAATATTATTGAATGGAGAGTCAAAAGGTCGATTTTATATGTGCAAAAAAAACAAACAAGTGTAATATGATCAATTTTCATCATTGAGTCTGTCTGCCGTGAAGATACAGCGACTATATAAAATGAAAAATTAAGAGGAATTAAAGCCATTGAGTTTGAAAATGACGATGAATTTGCTTTAACAAAATGTTTAAATAAACTGTCTTAAAAGAGTTTCTTCTTCTTACATATCAATTGATTGTACATGTGAGATTAATTAATTTGTAGATGTCTACTTACTTTCCCAAAACTTGTCTTAAATGATATTTGTCTTCAATATTTATAATTTGCTTATCGATGTCCCTGTTATTATCTTTCCTCAACTTTTTTCCGGAATCCTTTTTACCAAAAAGAGGCATTGTCACTCTATTCTGTTCTTAGACACGTCTTAATATTGCTATATGCTCAAGGAATTTTACCAAATAAAAATCTTTAGCATTATAATTAGACAAGAAATGAGACTTTTTAATTTATCGCTTGTTGAATACGAATTTCTTCCTTTCACGGGCTTTTGTGATTTTTTTGGAACTATCGATTTATGTTAAGAATTTGGTACAAAAAAAAAAAGATTTTTAAACTGGATGTATTTACTCTGATGTCGTATCAAATTCTTGCTGTATTATTTTATTTATAAATTAGAAATTGAACAAACACTATTTTAAAACACGAATCAATTTTTAAATCTTAAAATAATTAAAAAGGAATCTTAAAAAGTTCTTTCTTTTTTTCACTAACACACGGAGTTATTTTACGCAAATTACTGAAAAGGGTTTTCTTTAAAATTATCACAATTAAATTTGTTTTTTATTTATCTTTGTTCCACTATCCTTGCTGAGATAAATATATATTTGAATTATGTATATTTTAAAATATTAAAATATTTCTTTTAAAACACTACGACGAATGAAAGTATTTTTTCCCCTGCAAGTTTAAATTCTTTTTAACCGTTAATAAAGAATAAAAAAACCAAAACAGTTCACTTCCTCGAAATAATTTCAAATATTCATGTTAAAGGTGCTAAGTATATGTAGTATTTTTGGGTCAGTTGACTTCAACAAGTCTAAACTTAAGAACAGAAAATCATTGTTCTCAATTGAATCAATATCATAAAGACTTACCTGTGACACTTTAACATCGACTGTCGGGAATTGATTTATTTCAAAACCATTTGTTTTAATGGTTTTAATAGCCTTACCATTTTCGTTCATATAGAACATCACTTTGTGATACCATTCTCAGTAATAAACGTTTTGTCTTTATTTCTTGCATATACGACAAACGTTGTTATCTCTGCTACTATTGCTCATTTATCTTGCATTTTTTTTTTGAGCTAGACATTTCAAGTCCATGAGCGAAAAACGTAACGAGTAAAGAATTTTTAAATCAAATTCTATGTTTTTTTTTGCGCAAAACTTTAAAAACTTGTCAACCGTCACATGGAGTTTTAAATTAATTAGCAGTTAAAATTGTTGAAAACGTGCTCTGATTACAGAAGACACCAGCAATAAAATAACTTTAATTAAAAGAGATATTTTATTCAAATAAAATTAAAAATTACAATCTATTAGCAGAATAAATCTTTAAATAAGACAGAGTAATAAAATCTATACCCATTTGATAAATAATAAAATGAAAATTGTAAGCGCATATGCAAATGAAGGTTCCAAAAAGAATGAAAGCATATATTGTAAGCTGAAGAAGCCGATAATATACCAGAGGAATTGAACAACACCATACCTAAAATTAAATTAATAAGAAAATTATAGAATGCATAAAACTTAATTTATTAGAATGTAGTACTCACATGTGATACATAATTTTATGCCAAATTGTTGTTGTCTTTGACTCTTTATAGAAAAAGTATCTTATGCCAATGATTTGTGCTTCCATGTATTTCTTCCAATCACAAAATTGTACATTATAATTGTATTCTTCAGCATCTTCAGGTTCTAAACAATCTAATATCCTTAATGAGTTGTGCATGTGGTAATGAAAGTTTCTGCTTGTGAAATAGTCAAAAGCTTTTATACCGTTATCAAAAATTCGTACATAATCGATAGTTCTAAAATGAAATAATGTCAAAATAACATATTATTAGAATTAACAATCTTTTTTGCAAGCTTATTTGTTAAATCAATACTCACTTTCGAGGAGGCTTTTTCATCGCTAGGAAATGTTCAGGCAAATAAAAGACTGATGCCGGTAAGAAATGAAAGAGATATATGAACAATTTATATCGCAAACCATTGCGAACCTTAACCTTTGGCTGACATATTATAAAATCATTTGGATGCTTCCTTGTTGCTTCATTCAGCAATTCACAATATTCTCCAAACGTAAGTGGATTTATCTCGCCACTAAAATAGAAAATTTTGAGCACCAATTTGTATTATTTATAATTAAGCAATTTTATTTACCTCGTGCAATGAATAACTTCAACTTCCTTGACTCGATATGTAGAAACATACCAGGAAAGTACAATAGTTGCATTTGCAACATAGTCACATGGAATGAGGTCCATTACTGAAGATGCATCCCCTAATATTAATGAAATATTTCCCGATTAATGGATACTCTTTAACATATTTGTATACGTTACCTCCCATAGTTCGAAACAAGCCTTTAGAATATCCAGCAAGAAAACCAATATGGCCACTGTTTGCAGATCCACACCAACCAGGCATAGGACTTCGATAGGTCCCATAAACAACGCTCGGTCTTATGATTCCTGCTGGATAATTTCTTAATTCTCTTTTGATCAAATTTTCCGCAAGTTGTTTTGTGAACGTATATGTATTTGGATGCGGGCTTATAAACTCTAACAGCTCAGGTGTACCCGTTTTAGGTAATGTTTTATCATAATCCTGATTATCAGTCACTAACTTAATCATATCATAAGGATCTACACTTGATTCGTATACTTGTTCTTTAATACCCTGATTTAAATAGCAACTGTTGCAAAATGCAGTCGAAACGTAAACAAAAGACGCCAAGTTTTTCAATTGTTTTGTAAATTCAACAGCAACTTGTGTCCCAATAAGATTTATTTTGATTGCTTCACCTATAAATGTGTTGAATTTTATTGTCGCAGCCACATGATAAACAATGTTGACTTCCTCATACAACATATCAAGAATTTCTTGAGAGATTGCGAAATTAGGCTTTGATAATTCCCCAACGAGAGGATGAACTTTTGCTTTGGTTTGCTCGTCAAGGTCGTTATAAAGCTGTGAAATACAATAAAAGGAAATATTTTTTATGTTGAAAATTCAAGGCGTTTATAAAATCCACTTCATCTAGCATAGTGCGAAAACCTTAAATAATAATTTTTAAGTTTAAAATTAAACCGACTCATTCACATCTATGCCATATCATATACATGCGGCATGGATACTTAGAAAAATAATTGAACCTTACGGTCGTGCAGTAAGCATATTTTAAATAAATAGTAAGATAAAATCAACCAGAATGGTTAATAAACACATATACAACTAGCTAGTCTATGAATACGTCTCTAGACTAGCTAGATTGGTATGTTTATTCTTTACAAATGAAAAAAGTATGGCTCCCTAACAGACTAGTGAGTATACTCATGGTACCGTAACATACTGAAGATATATTCTGAACATAGAATGTAATGTAGGGTTTTGCTTAGAGCACATACTCTTGAATATGTTACGGTACCATGAGTATACTCATTTGTCTGGTAGTGGCTGATATGTTGATCTCATTTTTGTCAATAATCAAGTTAACATTCGGTAACATAACTGTCGGAAGTAATATCTCATTATAAAAATAAAACAAGTAATGCTCAAAACAGTCTTTTAATGATGAATATTGCTTAATTAATTTTTAATAACCCTCATAATATGTCTACAAATTTTAAGTGAATCTTTATGCTGCTTTATGCAATTCGGTAATTAGACTAATGATAATTCGATTATTATTTAAAGTTCTTTCTTGTTCTTTCTTAGTCATTAAAATAAAATAAAGCCATGCTTAAGAATTCATTAAAAACAAAACATTTTAATATGACAGCCAGCCATGTAAATTGTTATTAGATGAGTTCCTTACTTGTTTCGGAAGTCAAATCTATAGTACTATGAGTAATGTTGATTAAATTGCATAATGTTTATAAAAATCATGTTGGCATAAATAATAATTCATTTTTCAACCTTGCATTAATTTCTTTGTTGAAAAAGTTGCATAAAATGCATAAAACAATTTTTGAGAGTGTGTTTGTGTGTAAACATGTTGCATTAAAATTATTGCATTAAGGTATTATTTTGTTGCTTTACAGTAACTTATGATGAAAAGTTTAATTTATCAAACAAATCAATGCATACGAATTAAAAAACGAATAAAATATTTGCTTGAGGAGTAACCTTGCATAGCGGGAACGTGATAAGAATACATTACAGCTAAGTCCATCTAATTATTGAAATTTCTATATAAAAACTACTTTTCCTATATTGCTTATTGTTCGCAAAAGACAACAAAACCATTTTTGTGAACATTTTTGGTACAAAATTTGAAATTTCCTAACACTTGACAAACAATGTTGAAGCTATAATTCTGTGATTATGAAAATATCGGAATCTTTAAATTATTGTTTATACATTCATGTATCAGAACTGGATTTTCATGAATGATCTTGAAGTCATGTAAAGAAGAGAATAAATGCGTACCTTTGTGATATGAAAACTTAAATATTCTTATAAAAAAAAAAATCAGAACACTAAATTGGCATAACAAATTTACAAGCTACTTTTTGACCTCCTTCTCCAACTTTAGATAATTTTTTTTTTCAAATTACATCGCAATGACCCCATAGAAGTCAGAGAATTTTTCCGAGAATTGTAACAACTTAATCATACAGTCATTAAATCACCGATACTTACAGTCTTTTCCATCAATTTTTTTATTCTTGATTCTGGAGTGTAGCCATTTTTTCCCCGAACCAGAACATAAATCTTTTTAAGTCCTGGTGTGGCACTTAGTAATCTTTCAATTAAACACTGTCCTAAAAATCCGGTACCACCCGTAATAAGAATAACTTTCCCGCTCAAAAAGTTTGCTATAGTTTTCTTCTCTCCGGCATTGGTAACAGTTTCGATTACATCCATTGTAAAAATTGTTGAATAAATTAACTCTACAAGTCTAATTAATTTTCAGTCCCTTTAAATTATTATTTAACTTCTTAAGACGATGATATCTACTTAACAGACAAATGACAACTGACAGGCATGAAATATTGTCACATTTTTGCTATGCACGTTTTCGCTCGTCATTCTGGTCAATGGTGGGAGTGTTTTTTTTTGTGCATTGATTACAAACAACTGAAATACATTAAAAGTTAAGATGCATTGTTTTTATTCTTAAAAACTTGCTGACAAAATTAACAAAATTTCAAAAAACATTCATTAAAAGTCTTTTTCTTTGCTTCTTTTTTTGTAAATGTCAATTAGTCTTTTATTTTGATTTTTTTTTTATGATTGTCGATACAAAGCAATAAACTGAATGATTCAGCCTATTCATCTGTCTATGATTACAGGTTTTTTTCTGCTAAATCTTACAAAGACGAATAAAATTCTCATGTAGCACGTCATTCTACCCTAATATGAAGACAAACTTCATCCATGCTTCAGTTGTTTTCCGCGCGGATTCTCAAATAATACAAAACAAAATAACAATCTCACATGTTTAATATTGTCATCATTTCCATAATTTTTCATGCATATCTGTGGTGATAACTGACCAGTTTCAATGCTTCACATTTTTTTTAAACCGCCAGCAACTATTTAAATTACGGACCAGATTATTAGAAAGCTTTGAGGTTGGTGCGGTGTGGTGGAGAAGCTTCTGTTCTGGGAAATACCTGATGTAAGATTTAACTCAATTAACTTGAAATTTCAACAGTGAGTTTTTAAAAGACAGAAATAAAGTTAAATTAACTTAAAGCTGCATCCGTTAAAAAAGCTTAATTTGAACCGATTCAATTGTATTTTGAAATCTTTTTTGACTGTTGGTTTCTTTTGACAACGGAAATGTTAAGAATGAACAAAATTTGCATGCTACTTCCTAATGTAATACATTTAATAAAAAAATGAGATAAAAGTAATTTAAATTGGAATAAGATGTAGACATTAATATTTAGAGCTTGAATTGTCACAAAAACATAACGGAAAATTGTGCATTAAAACTTTCCTGATACGGTTTTATAATGCCAAAATAGTATGGAATATTTTTTTTTTCTCTCACGATGCACATGGCGATGATTGCGCAGACGCAAGGTCTAGGGAAGAGTAAATTCTCCGGTCGATCGGAAGACAATTTCTTTACTCCCAAATTTTATTTAAATTTGAAGTAATACAATTAAAAATCGTGCACAATTAATAGTTTGGATTATTGTTAAATAAATTCAGTTAAAAAAATTGTGTAATTGGAGTAAAATTGTGTTCTGCGACATCTGAAAATTGTTAATATAAAAAGGTTAATATCTATCGTCCTAATAATAGTGCAAAAGAGAAAATAAAATATATTATATTGTATTTCTCATATGATGTAAGAATTCAAAAAATATTCAAGTTTGATCTTCACATGGTTGTGCTCAATGCAGTATATTAAAGTGCATACATAAAATATTTATCACAAGTGTGAAATCACTAAATTTAAGTTTGTTATATTACGGAACAAAAATCACTATGGCGTCTTTCACGATGAATTGTTCACATTTTTCACTTTCCATAGAATAATTTTTCGTGTAAAGCCGTATATGTGACTTAAATGAAAAATGAGATGATTTTTGTTATCCAATTAAACTATTTGTCACAAACGTTCAACTAGTATACTATGTAAAACATAAGAAACGTAAATTTTAAATCATCAATTAACATTTCCATCATTTTCAATGAGATATAAAAAAATCATATCAGATAATATTGAGATGAGTCTCAATTAGTTCCACCGGAATACTCAATATTGTTGTTTTGATGAAAAGTTTTAAATTGAATTATTTATGGAAATAGAAGTGAATCATCATGATTTATGACACAGCGACCAAAAATTCAGTGCGTGAATGTAATCTAATTTGAAATCAGACATGTATCTAATTATTTATTTTAGATGTTCTTCAAGCATACAAGACCCTTTTTTCACATTTAATTTTCTTCTAATTGCATTATAAATTACAATATTCATCTAATTATATTTTTAGCGCATTTTTCTATGGTTGAATGCACATTTTGTGTCATTGACACAATAAAATAATGAGAAATAATTTCGTAGAAAGCATGATTCGGAGTTGTTTGATAAGAAATTGACATTCATGCAATTTTGAGATTGAATCTTTTAGTTTTACTATAGGCCTGTTCATAAATGATTTAGATTTGAGGGTAGAGAGAGGATCACATGTGTCACATCCAAAAAAACAAATTGAAACAAGTGAGGGAAGGGGGGGAGGTTAAAAGTCTAATTATTAGAGGACGCAATTTATAAACGATCACAAAAATGCATTTAAAGAAGAATTTAAATCCGCACACAAGCTGATCAAATTAGTCAATAGGAAAGACAAATAAATATGCTTGTGAGAAATCGAAGATACTTGAGATATTTATTCACATGGTGCATAAGAAAACAAAATTACATGCGTCTGTATTAATAGAAACGAAATTATTAGATTATTCATTACGACCCGATTAACATTAATATGTTCAATGCCGAGTTCCACGTGCAATCTTATATAATCGACATATCAAATGTTTCTCATATTTTTATTGTCTAGTGATTTATTGAATAAATCCAATTAAATAAAGTGTCTTCCTTTCTTTTAATACCAAAAAGAGAGGGAATATAGGTAGACTTGTTTCTTGGTATGTATGATGCACACATATCACGATATATCACTGCAGTCATGAACAACGTGGAAGTTTATAATTTTTTTTGATAATATTTTTTACTTCATGAATTATGAAATGTAATGAGCCTTACTAATATGTCTTATCAGAAAAAATTATGTCATTCTAAAATTGAATTGATAACGCTTTAAATAAGCGAGCGGGGAAGAGGTTCTTAAGTGAAAACTTAAAATTTCCATCTTTTGAGCTGGATTTTTGTAGATGAAAAAGAAACGAAAAAATGTTGATGCCTTTCTCAAGAGAAAGTTTTTTTTTTTCATAAAAAAAGTATATAGTGTGGAGATTCGTGGAGAAATATCATATTCAAATGATTATTTTGAGCAATATTCCCCCTCAGTATTTATCGTATTACCTTTTTGTATCAGTAAAAAATTCAGCCTATAATGAATTTATTTCTTACCTTACAGTTACTTACGGATATTCAGACAATACTTATCGTTGGAAAAAAAATAAACATCTCCGATGTCTATAATTAGGAAAATTTGTAGAATAAAAAGTTAAATCTTCAAGTTGAGTGAATTAATCTTAGTGAAAGGAGTAGCAAAAAAATATATAAAATAATTAATAAAAAAAAACAAAATTGCATCAATTGCTTTCTAATTCAAATCGTCTGTCCTTCTTCCGAAAATGAAGTTATTCATTTTTTAGAAAATCGCGCACAATAAATCTTCATGTTTAATAAATATTCTTGCTTCCAATTTACAAAACTCACCGTGGACTAGTTGATACATAACTGTACGGAATTCTGTAAAAAACATATTTCTATTGCAATTTGACAAGATAGAAAACAAAAAAAAAAATTAAAGAAACATGACAACACACGAGCGTAAAGCAACAGATGATTATGTATCTATCGCTGATTTCTATAATGATCGAAGTATCTTTATCACTGGAGGTAAATCTTAAATTGCTCTTATCTTAATTTTTGGTATTTAATTAATTAATGCCTTATCACTTAAAAAAAAGGAACCGGTTTTATGGGAAAAGTGTTAGTGGAGAAATTGCTCCGATCATGTCAAGGAATAAAAAATATTTATCTTCTGATTCGACCGAAAAAAGGACAAGATATTAACACACGTCTCGACGAACTTTTGAATAGTCCACTTTTCGATAAACTTCGTACAGAACGTCCAAACGATTTAAATAAGATCATTCCAATACATGGTGATATCACATCTGAAGAACTAGGCATTTCAGATAGTGACCAAAATTTGTTGAGTCAATCTGTTTCTGTCGTTTTTCATTCTGCTGCAACTGTTAAATTTGATGAAAAATTAAAGCTTTCTGTTACAATCAACATGCTGGGAACAAAGCGATTGCTTCAGCTTTGTCAACGAATGATTTGCTTAGAGGTGAGTTTCGATTACTAATGCCAAATTTAAAGATAATTGATAAGAAGTCATAAGTGTCAGTGACGTACAGACTTTAAAAATGTGGTGTCTATAAAAGTTAATTGTGAATCGATTAAAAGCAGTGTCAATGCTGATTATCTTATTGAAGATAAGTAAAAAAAAACAGAACTTGAAAGTAAATAAGACTTTAAATATAGAAACAAATAATTGCTTGTGTGTTTAGTCAGTAGGAGATGTAAATCCTCTACTTGAAATGAGGAATGCTTCAAATTGCAAGAAAAAAATTATGTCTAGAACTTTTAAATGTTTTTTTTTTAAAAAAAAAAACTTTCTTGTTTGTCATTTCGTGTCAGGCTTTGGTGCACGTGTCAACAGCATATTGCAATTGTGATCGGAGAGATGTGGCAGAAATGATTTACAGCCCTCCGTTCAATCCCGATGATATAATTTCTCTGGTACAATGGCTTCCTGAAGATTTGTTGGATAAAGTAAGATGACCTCACTTTAATCTTCATGACTTCAAATAGTTTATTAATTTTTACTTTTTCTAAAGCTAACACCATCACTCATTCAATCACGTCCAAATACGTACAGTAAGTGTTATAATCTCATTATTGTATTTTTTTTGCATTTATGCTCAATACATTTATATTTTTTTTATTAGCATTCACAAAAGCTCTGGCGGAAGCAATGTTATTAAAGGAGGCTGGAAATTTACCTGTGGCTATTGTCCGACCATCAATTGGTATGCCAAAATTCATTATTATGTAAACCAAACAAAATAAACTTTCTTTTTTTCCTCTTTAGTTTTATCTAGTGTCAATGAGCCGCTTAGTGGTTGGGTCGACAATTGGAATGGACCTACTGGGATTGTATCTGCAGTTGGAAAGGGAATTTTTCACACAATTATGTGTAATGAAGAAAGCATAGCAGATTTTATACCCGTGGATTTGGTATGACTAAATACTTTCTTTTTTTCGGGTTTCATAAAAAAAATTATGCAATATCCATCATATTAGGTAATAAACTTAATGGTTGCCGCTGCTTGGAAAACCGGTACTGCTGAAAACACCACAATGACAATTTATAACTGCTGTACGGGTATGAATAAACCGATCACATGGGGCAGATTAGTTTCATTGGCAATTGAGAAGATGAGAGAGCATCCTTTAGGTATAACATATGATTCATAGAAAAATTAATGGAATTATGTTAATCACATTATATATATTTTTTCAGAGGGAATATTTTGGTACCCAACGGGAATTCTACGTAAAAACCGGACTTTGAACTCAATCCATTCCATTATTGCCCACTATATTCCAGCCTATATTTTGGACATTCTAGCACGCATCGCTGGCCGAAAACCAATGTATGTTCTATTTTATTTTTTTTTTAAATTCCATAAGTCACACTTTATTTTTAAAATTCCTATTGTAGTATGATAAAAGTTCAGGATAAATTAGCAAAATCTGTACAGTGCTTAGAGTATTTTACAACACATCAGTGGAGATTTCATGGCGATAACGTCAAAATGTTGTTGGACTCGTTGAATGATAAGGACCGAAATGAGTTTCAATTTGATGTAAGAACAATTGTGTGGGAAGATTATGTGGAGAAATATGTACTAGGCTTTCGTCAGTTCCTGTTCAAACAGAATCCCTCTTCATTAGAAGACAGCAGGAAGCGATTGACAAAGTAAGGCTTTAAATTTGATTAAATTAATAAGATTCAAAAAAAAATAATAATAACTATAAATTTTTTTTCGTCGTAGGCTCAAAGCAATTCACCAGCTTTCCAAATTTTTAATAGTCATCATCTTTTGGCGTTTTTTGATGGCACGTTCAAAAAGAATTAGAAACTTATGGAACAAGATTTGTCTTTTTATTTTTTCTTACATGAAACAAATATTACCTTCAATCGGATCGTAAGTTTAACATGACAACAAAAAATAGGAAGAAGAAAGTGTTTGTTATACATTTAATTGAAAATGATTATCAAGAATAATTATTATATATAACTATTATCGATATATATAATAATCCTTAGCTTTCAGAATGAGGTGTTTAGCGAAACTTTCTAAACCAAAGATTTTTGTTACATTCTCAAATAATGCTTAAATTGCATATTTAAAAAGAAAAATGATGAATTGATATGTTTTATAATAATACTGAGTGTAAGGGACAAACAAAAAAAAAGTTTGAATTACATATGTAAAAAGCTTCCTCTTGTAATCAAAAAAAAAAAAAAAATGACAGAAAGTAAAATTTAATGCACTTCTTAGGTATTTTTATATTTATGATTTTCAACTTCATCATGTAGAAAAATTTTTAAATTAGTATTATTGAATTTCTGGTTAAAGTATGAAGAAGCAAAATTTTTGAATTGTAAATTGACTTAAAGCATCATATTTTTTAATTAAATTAATAAAGCAAAATTCATCTTTTTTCCTTATTATCGACAAAAAAGAAAGAATAAAAAAAAAATAAGAAGAAAAATTATCACGATCGATTTGATTATACATTTAAAACTGCCTACATTTAAATATAATTATAGATCATGGAAAGAAAATCGAAACAAAGCAATTTAGCTTGGGAAAAATTGTAAAAGTATTCTACTGAGAAATAAAAAATTTGAGTTGCAGAAAAAATTTCTTAGAAATATTGTTTTAATACTCGGTGCGTGTATGCTAATTCAGTGCACCGCTATGGATTTATAAGCTAGCTAGATGTATTTCAGATGTCATTTTTGGATTAGCAAATATTTTTATCCGAATATGCGGGTAGTTTTAATAATAATCTCTGCATAACTGTGTCATGAGGAAACTAGGTCAAGAAATCATTTTGGTCGGTAGAACTTATTTTTTTATTTAAAAAAAAAACAAAGTCTCTTGAAAAACTTAACAGATGATCAGCCTGTTTATAAATACTATGGTTTTAATTAACTTAAAGTACTGTTGAGCAGAACGAAAAGTCAGTAGATCAATAAACATGAAAGTTTTAAGTCTAGTAATTAAAACCACATCGCCCCATATTGTAAATGTTAATAACAGGTTTTTAATAAGAATCAAGAAGGTATACAGAAGAGTTGTGAAATTTTTTTACTTCAGCAATGAAAAGTTCTTTTTTCTATGCATTCGTTTTCTTTTACCAACAAAGCTATAAGCTTCTCAAAGTTCTTTCACACCGTCTATTTATATCTCTAAGAAACCATACATGCACATTTTGAAATTGAAGACAAAAAAAATTTGTCCCTAATTGATTTTTTCATAATCAATATAAAAGACGGCATAAAATCCATAATTCGAATCACTTTACAATCACTTGTCGCTTCAAAAATAAAAAATCATCCATAAATATAGAAAATCTAGTTGAAACAATTTAATTAAAATCAGGAAGCGTGCATTAAAACAGAAATAATGAATTACATTTTATTTGCAATTTTCAATGAATTTATTTATTATTTTAAAATTTTTAAAGAAAAAAACTATTGTGGTGTTTACTTCTTTTTGAGTCGTGTGTCTACCGAGATGAGTTTTCATGTGAACAAAACAGTTTCACTTCTTTCGTGGCCCCCTTAATATGATTTGATTTTTTTAAGAATCAGATAAATACTAAAATAACCAGTGATAAATACTAATATTAGTAAGTATGCAATTCAAATGTGATAACCAAATCTTTTGTATGTTCATACTGAATGACTAGTGATAAGAACATTGACAAAATTTAAGAAATTAATTTGTGAAATCCAATACGAGAAATAATCGATTAATTTTTTTGCAAATTTTTATTATTCGTTAATTAATAACGTTCAAAAGATTTACAGAAAGATGATTGCATAGTATAGTTATTTTAATAATAAGCTATAATGACTTAACATTATCGCAGTGATTTCGTCACAAGAATGTTTGAACAAGTCAAATTAGAGCCTTTACAGTTTTATCATTCTTCAAATTGTCAACCACAATTCCCCACAGCACCACAATCAAATCCATCCTTACTATTACAGCATCCTAATCAGCATAATTCTACATTGATTGAAAGTGAAATTAAAAATAATGTAAAATGATTATTTTCATATTTTTTCCGGACTCCAATTATTAATAATTTCTTTTATGCCTGCAGACTAATGAAAATTTATTGGTCAATCAAATTAAACCCGAACTTTTAAATGAATACCAAGTAAGTACAAACACTTCAACATCTGTTCGGAAATCTCAAACGTGTAGAATATGCGGTAAAGTCCTTTCATCTGCCAGCAGTTATTATGTTCATATGAAACTTCACAGTGGAGTTAAAAACTTTCAATGTATGATTCCTTGCTAGAAACCTCATTGCTAAGCGATTTAACATTTATTTATTGTATTAATTTAGGTACAGTCTGCGATGCGGCTTTCTGCCGTAAACCATATTTAGGTAAGCATATAAGTTTGTGCTCGTGGTCGATTGATTCATTTCTAATCTTTTTTTTTTTTTTCATTTTAGATGTCCATTTGCGTACACATACGAAAGAACGACCTTGTGAGTAGTTGATTTTTTGTGCTGTATATTCGATTTAAATTCCAAAATGTTTTTAAGAAATAAGATAATTCGAAAGCTTATCGCATAGAAACTTTTGGGATTAAAAAGATTTATTACTAAGAGTTTATTCTAAGGCTGGTGTGGGAAATAGGGTTGATTGATGTGAAAACATGAAATATTAAAAACTCTTGTTAATCATAAACAAAATTTTGCCCAATTTATGTTTAAAATATTATTAATGTTTTTTTTTTATCCCTTTGTGATTCAATAGATCAATGTATGGAATGTTTAAAGAGGTAACTTTTATTATATTAACACCGTTTTCACGTGTGAATCTATTGGTTTTGTTCAGATTGAAAAATCAGTTTTTCGCATTTTGTGAGGAAACGAAGCAAAATTGGTTATAAAAGGTCATATAAGAAAAGCCTGAAATTTTACATCATTTTCAAAAAACGGATTTCAAATTGATTGTGGCATTGCTGAGAAAATCGCAAAATACGCTTTCTGTAAGCAAGCAAACAAGCATGCAAGTTAATCAGCAAGAAATCTCAATAACGAGACATTGTAGAGACTTCTAGTTTTATATATTTGATCCGTGCTGATCTATAGATGAGCTGTATTGTTTTTAAGCAAGGTAGGAACAGCCGTTGCTTCAGAAAAAGCAAAAAACTTTCCTTTCTTACGAATTTTTTAAACAAAAAAAGACTGTGATTTTTATAAAATTCAACTTTGGATGAAAAATTTCTTCAAAAAACTTTTAAAGAATGTTCGTTAAGCTTTAAACTTTCAAACATATGCTAAGCGAAGCTCAGCTGACTCGCTAGCTTTATATCTTCAAACTTATGCTGTTCACTTATTACGTTCGCATTTTTGGGGGGAGGGGGGTTTGAAAAATTGTAACCAAATGTAACATAAGGGGAAGTGCCAAAAAGTATGTAACGTTCTAACTGTCGTCTGTCTATTAAAAAACAGTTCCAAAAAAATTTTTTTTTAAAATTCACAACAAAAACATTTTTTTAAATTTTCCACCTTTTTAATGATTTATGAATGTCCAGATCACTTTTGATAGCTAAGCAATACATAGTTTTTGTTATATAAAGTAACAAATCAATAGAAGAAAGACTTTAAAATACAATCATAATTTGTGGAAATTTTCAAAATTGTCCCGAACATACAATAAGTATACTCAGAGCACATTATTTGTGAGCTTGCAAACTTTTGTGAGAATGTGCTCATTTCATACATTAAAGTGATGCGATCACGGTACTTTTTTGAGTATGCTCAGTGAGCACATTCCTATGTGACATGCATTAAGCTCACTGAGTAAACTCATGAGCATACTCAAATGAGAAGGCAACATGCCACACGCAACATTTTTTTAATACAACATTTTTTATTGAATATACTTATGAACATTCTCAAAGTGCATATACTCATAAACATACTCAAAGAGCTTATACTCATGAAGATACTCAAAAGATATATGCTTAGTGAGTTTATTAATGAGTATATGCTCATCTGAGTACACTCATGAGTGCAATCAGTTAAAGTCACAAAATTCAAAAAAATTAATTAAGTTAAATTTGAGTTTTATAAGGATAATTCTGTGAATAATTTTGGAAGAGCTAGAAATTATTATTAACATTTTATCTCAAATACTCAAGAAGGAAGTTTTAAAAACCGGTCACCTATCCTTGTAGAAAAACCTATTATTACAGGCAAACTAAGTTGAGTTGATCAGAGTACGATCGTGAGAACATATTATGAAAAATGTCGACCAATTTAAAATTAAACTTAGAATACATTTTTATGTAAGTCGACAATTTCAAAAATGTCGACCAGCTTAAAATCGAACAAAGAATACATTTTTATGTAAGTCAACATTTTCAAAAATGTCGACTAGCTTAAAATCGAACAAAGAATACATTTTTATGCAAGTCGACATTTTTTGAAAATATTTTATGAATTCAAATATTAGTTCCATGAAAGCCAAAAGATTTCGATCGTGCTTAATTCTTATAGTTTTTTAAAAGCAAGTAATTTTTAATTTAATTCCTTGACATTTTTTAAAATGTAATATAGTTATAATTATGTTCATTATATGCTCATGAGTATGTTTAGGAAGTGTATTCATAAAAGTAAATACCCATGAGTATGTTCTTAATATTTTCATAAGCATGTTCAGTAAGTGCACTCATACGAGTATATTCACATAAGTATGTTCTTAATATTCTCATGAGTACACTCGTTGAATGTACTCAGGGGAGCTTATAAATTTTTTGCAAAAAAATAAAGTGAGTACATTCGTAATGAACTCCTGAGCATGCTCAGTTGATAAACTTGCATGAGTATAATTTTTGAGTAGGCTCACTTTTCTGAGCATGCTCTTTGTATGTTCGGGTATATCAATCATAAGTTTAAAAGTAAATCTCTCTAAATCTGTCATTCATATGATGATTATTATGATCCCATCATTGTGATATTTACATTCAAAGTTGATTGAATTTTCCAAAATTCGATCGGGTGTAATATTTTTCATGACATTTTTGAATTTTCTTAGCTTTATATCTCAAAACGTATACATACTTATGCTGGGCAAATCTTAGTCTATCCATAAGACTTTTAATGGTACGGTGTGAATATAATCCGCATTGGGTTTCTACCCGATACAATAGTTGATTCTTGATTTAATAATTTAAATTAATTAAGAACATCTGATTTCTTTTACCAAAATAGATTTAGTCAAAAATCATCATTGAACACACACAAAAAAATCCATTTAGGTGAGTTTGTTTAAACGACTGTTAAATTCATGACTTAGCACAATGCTTCAGATTTAAAAAAAGTGTTCAAAAATTCAAAATTATCATGTTAATTAAACTTTATCATTTAAATGCCAGAATAAATATCTTAACTTATGGCATATCCTATGAAAATATCTCGTTCCAATTTGATGTCTAACTCCAGAAATCTTTAATTTATTCTCACCAAAAATTTGTTTACAATTTGTGTATGAAAAAAAATCTTTGATTTTCTTACTTTAGGTTGTTATTTCGATATCCTGCTAGCTTTTGCAAGCTAAGTTAAGCTAAGATTTGCATATTAAAACTACCAAATTAACAGAAAACTGCTTATTAAGTCTTAAAAATACAATTGAAATCTGAGTTTTTTTTACATAACTTCAACTATTCATAAGTTAAAAAGTCTTCAAAAGTCCTCTCTGAAACCTATATAAATCAACTGAACAAGCTGAAATCTATCTCCCATATTAATATGGTCATGCTTTTTAATGCTGATTTCGAGATATTTGCGTTCAAAGTTTACATAAATTTTCATACAAAATTTGGACATGCAAAATATAAAAAAATCATGTTTATCCTTTATATTACCGACTGAGTTTTTGAGCAATTAGTGAAAACATTATGGAAAAGATGCTAAAAGCATCCAATCAAAAGAAATTAACAATAAGAAAAACTTTGAATTTTCTAATGTGTCGGAACCAGAGGTCGAAGCGAACTTGGTTCGCCAAGTTCGCTTCGCTAAAAATTCAATTTGCCAAAGTCGAACTGTAGCGAGAAAAAATTTTTTCTATTCGCCTTAGCGAACCATAGCGAACTCAATTTTATTTTTTTCGCTATAGCGAACTATTAGCGAACTTAATTTTTCAAAGTTCGCTATAGCGAACTATTGGCGAACTATAATTTTTTGCAATTTTGTATGAAATTACATACTTCACAAACGCAATCAGACATCTCTTTACATGAAGCCAAAAAATTTTTTCTAGTTCGCCAATAGTTCGCTATAGCGAACTTTGAAAAATTAAGTTCGCTAATAGTTCGCTAAAGCGAAAAAAATAAAATTGAGTTCGCTATAGGTCGCTAAGGCGAAAAGAAAAAAAAATTTCTCGCTACAGGTCGACTTTAGCAAGTTGAATTTTTAGCGAAGCGAACTCGCTAAAAACTCGCTTCGCTATGCTCGCTTCGACCTCTGGTCGGAACAATTTTGTGCACAAGGAATTTTTAAACACTTTTTTCAAATCTGAATCATTGCGCTTAGTGATTAGGTATCTCCATTTTTGGAATATTTTAAGTTCATTAAATTTGCGTTAAATTTTTTGATTATTAACAAACTTTCCTTAACTTATAATTGATTTATAATAATCTAAGTGACATAGATATTAATTAATGAGCATTTAGTTCCTATTATACCTTAATTTAAAAACGGATGATCTATTTCATTTAGAATAAGAAGATTGTAATAAATGTGATGCACAACAGTGCAAGTACTGAAGTTGATTCATAATTTTGCTCTCTCTTTGTTTTTTTTTTCTAAAAGGCTTACGTCCTTATCACTGTCACGAGTGCAATAAATCTTTTAGTCAAAAATGTGCATTAACATTGCATTTAAAAAGTCATAACAATAACGGTTTGTTAATAAATGCTTTTAAACGTTTCTTCTTCCTTACTTTTAATTTTCTCAAAATTATATAAAGTCTTATATAGCATGAGATGTGTTCAGTTTGAAATCCCAATAATATGTTTTGAGATGAAGTCATTATGTTTTTAATTGTTCATGAATTTTATTTTGATGTATCTGAGACAGTTGATTTTCATTGCTGTCATTTTCTCGTTAGAAGCCATACAAGAAAGACCCTACAAGTGTGTTGAATGTTCGGCAGCTTTTTCACGAAAGCCATATTTGGGTAATATTTAACAATTTATCTTTGGATAGATTATTTTATTGAGATTTTTTTTATCACGTTTTTCAGATATCCATTTGAGGACACATAGTGGAGAACGTCCTTTTAAATGTAAAATTCAGTCATAAATGACATGATCTTAATATAAACTTAAAAATTACTTGTATTTTAGGCTTAATTTGTTTCAAGGCCTTCACTCAAAAGTCATCCCTTAATATCCACAAAACTACTCATAATGGTAAGTTACTACATGTTTAAGTTCATTCAAAGATTTTGTTTGTAAAATAATTAAATCTTTCAGCATCTCACAGGCCATTTAAATGTAATCAATGTGAGGCTTCCTTCTCAAGAAAACCATATCTTGGTAAGCTTGATGCATATGATTTCGATTTTCATAAATGTTTTAAAACGAGGAAATTTTAAGCAAATCGAAAACACTTTAATATTGTATGTTTTTAATGATAATTACTTTCTGTTCTTTTGCACTTCCAGAAATTCATTTAAGAACGCATACAGGTAATTATCATGAAATTTTTTGTCATATATTCCCAAAATGAAACAGAATTTGGGTATTAATGCACTCTATTCAGTAATTACAACATATTATTGCATCGTTATATTAATCTCAGATTCTGTCCCTGTTCAATTCTTCGATGCTGTGTTTTCTTGCAAGATTTATTTGTTAAAATAATTTCTTTAAATATTTAGGAGAGCGTCCATATGTTTGTGATTGCGGAAAACGTTTTACTCAAAGATCGACTTTAAATATACATAAGAGAATACACAACAATGACAAGCCATATGCATGCGACAGTGAGTAGACAATTTGACAACATTTAAACAAATTTTAAAAAATTTTTTTTTTTCCATTTAGTATGTGGAAAGAACTTTTCCGTTCGTAGCTATGTCACATCCCATCGATGGTAATTTCAATGATTTTTTCAAATTAGTAATGGATGAAATTAATATTTTTGCCTAATTTCAGGTCTCATGTGTCAGAAAAGCCATTAAATTGTGAGAGATGCTCAATGACATTCACATCTAAAAGCCAATTTGCAACTCATATTAGGTACATCACAGAATAATAATGATTTTGTAAAGAAACTAAAATTGTTTACTCGTAGAACTCATTCAGCAGGACAAAACTTTGAGTGTAAGATTTGCAAACGTACTTTTATTCGTGAAAGTTATTTGATACGTCATCACAATCGAGTACATCGAGAACGAACACAGTCACTAAGCATTCAGTCAACTATAAATTCAGTTGTCGAATCATCAGTGGTTGATGCAAATAATATATTTGATCGTTACACATCTAATGTAGTGATTCCAATGAAAAATGGTCGAGTAGTTCAAAGGATTCCCCAACCGTCTTTATTGCCGTCACCACTAATGGATCATACAAAGCAAGAATTTCAGACAAACTCGGTGACTGGAGTATAACTCAAATAAAAATAATTAAATGATTTTTAAAATCATTATTTAGAATGCATGCAATGATTTTTTGTTGCATATATGATACCTACATATAATCTTCTTAGAAGAATTTTTTCTAGTCTATTTGACAATTATGCACAAAAAATACGACATTGAAAAAGTTTAAGAAAACTGTGCAAAACAATCATATTCTTTAATTTTTTTAACGATTCGAGATCTCAAATTCTGTTATGTGTATATACCATTAAACATTTTAATTTCTCTTTACTGACTATAATCAAGAACTTTAAGAAATAAAACTGTAATTATAATGAAAGAGAAATAAAAAGTAAATTCCTTTAATCAACACCTGGATTTTATTTCAATTTTATTTCATCAAAATTATCTACAATTGATAAACGTGATTTATCATCCTCACTTATCTCATAATTATTTGGCCTACGAAGTAACAATGTTTGAATGCCAGCATGATCTGCTGCAAACAATTCATTTGGGATGTCTGAGAGAAACAACACGTGTTTACCCTCAAAACTAATTTGATTGAGAATGTTTTCATAGCTCTTTGGTTCCTGCTTGTGTCCAACGTTGGTGTCAAAATAATCAGTTATGTATGCTGAGAGATCTCCACTTATCGAGTATTTGAAAAGAAGTTTTTGAGCCTCTACCGACCCAGAAGAATAAATGTAAATTTTTATTCCATTTGCTGTCCATTTTTGGAAATTTCTTAGTACATCCTCAAACAAGTGTCCAGTAACAAGTTTAGACTCAAATGCATATTTCCATATTTTCCCTTGAAGGAGTTTCAAAGAACTTACTTTTCGATCCTGATCGATCAATTGCTGTACATAACGTGCTATATTGTGAGCATATTCGTTTACATTATCACTTTCAGCAATTTCATTTTTATCATTTCTAGCCTCAACACAAAGATTCTCGACAATAGACTGTATTTCCTGTTCCTTAAAATTATCATTTATGAATTTTTCACAATTAAAGTATGCATATTTAAACAATGTGTCTTTAACAAAAGAAATTGATGTAGTTGTTCCTTCTATATCACAAATAATTGCTTTAATGTTCATTTTATTTATGCTCTACACGCTAAAACTTATATTTAAATGCTGAGATTTTTTTTCCCCTCTAATGTATTATGTCTTTTTGGAAATGTGCGGGAATTTCAATTTTTGTTTGGCAAAGACGATTAGAGTAGCGACTTACTCAGTGAAAAATAAAAAATAAGAACAAGCTGGTGATTGGATAAATTTTGTCAATTTATTTATTTGGCTCGAAGTTATTGTTCAAAAATGAATAACAACGATTCGCATAATGTCCCTTCATTCCACACTTGAAACAAGTAATATCTTCCAACTTCCTTGGTTGATAAGGAGGTCTCGGTTGATTTCCATGATGGTTCCCGTGATGATGACCTGGATTCCATCTGTTCCCCATTGGATTTGGTGGATTTAGAATTTCTGGAGGAGGTCCATTAATGTGCTGATCGGAAAGTATATCGGTATTGGGAAGTTCTTTATTCTGATCCTTCATATGACTTATTAATCGTTGTTGAGCGTGATGATTGTATGTTGTATTCTTCAGAGTGTTTTGTCGCTCTATTTCTCTCTGTTCTGGAGGCAGTTTTGGGCAATGACTTGCTTTATGCCCAAGATCACCGCAATTGTGGCAAACCGGAGGACGTTTAGGCATTTCTTTTGGATCAGACGCAGGTGGCAATTCAAAACGAGGATGCATAAATTTACAATCGGAACCATCTGGACAAAATCCAGATAAATAATTTTTACACAAAACTCTTCTAACATGGCGATGTCTGCAAGACGGACCGTGACGACAAAATCCACGATCATACCAAGCACAATCCTTAATTTTGCTCTCTGGATCTATATGAAGAAACGTACATTCTTTTTTGTGACACGCATGATACTTGCTGTAAGGAAATAATGTCTTCTTATTCTCAATTTAATTAATTAAAACTAGAATATATTTACCTAAAGAAATAGCATTCCGGCATTTTACTCATGTCATATTCATGCAAAAATTCACAGCTATCGCCTTTTTTACATAGCGCTCGTAGCCAATGCTTACATACTATCGTCTTCTGTTCAGCTTTTATGTGTCGAAAAGGGCAAAATTCTTTATCACATTGTCCTGAAATCATGAATAAAGCTAGATTAATTAAACAATAAAATTTATATTTTATTTACCTAAATTGAAGAAATTACAAACTGCAGATAAAGATTTATCCATGCCTGTAAAGGCCAACGGAAGTGCACCGATCTGATCATTTAGTTCCGCTTCTATCTTAAAATGTATATTATCTATATTTGCTATTACAAAATCCATTTTAAAACGCTAATTTAATTTCATGAAAAATAATGCAATAACTGAGACAAGTTTGACCGAGATGATAAATTTTTTAATAATTATGTCAACTCGGATTTTTTTTTGAATATTTGATAGATAAATCAATCACCCCCCCCCCCCCCCCCCCTACTAGTATTTAATAAACTACTACTAGTATTTAATAAAATTTGGTATGAATTGATATTTTGCAGCATCAGAGCTGAGATGATTATACTTAAAATTGACGAAGATAAAAAAGAAATGCAAGTTCATAAAAATCGGGCGCAATTTAAAAGCTCAAACATGGTTGTACCTTGGAAGTTGAAACTATGAAGGGATTTTTATATTCACACCGTTTTCACGTGTGAATCTATTGGTTTTGTTCAGATTGAAAAATCAGTCTTTAGAATTTTGTGAGGATATGGAGCAAGATAGCTTAAAATGTTCAGAGATGAAAAGTTTGTGCTTTGAATTTCACATCTTTTGCAAAAAACAAATTTCAAATTGGTTGCAGCATTGCTGAGAAAATCGAAAAATACGCTTTCTGTAAGCAAACAAGCAAACAAGCAAGTTAATCAGCAAGAAATCTCAATAACGAGACATCGTAGAGAATTCTAGTTTTTTACATTTGATCCGTGCTGCTCTATAGAAGAGCTGTATTGTTTTTGGGCAAGGTAGGAACAGCCGTTGTTCAGAAAAAGCAAATAACTTTCCTTTCTTACGAATTTTTCAAATTAAAAGTTCACTGTGATTTTTTTTTAAATTAAACTTTGGATGAAAAAAATTTTTTTGAGCAAAGAACCAAGTAGGAAATACATTTTCAATTTTGGACTAGGGGCGACCCTAGTCAAAATCAATTTTGTCACTTTTTTCTTCGAGGGTTTATACAAATGGATTGTAACTTTGCACAAATATTCTAGTGCTTAAAACAAATACAAATAAAACATCCTAAAATTTTTTGAGCAAAGAACCAAGAAGGAAATACATTTTCAATTTTGGACTAGGGGCGACCCTTGTCAAAATCAATTTTGTCACTTTTTTCTTCGAGGGTTTATACAAATGGATTGTAACTTTGCACAAATATTCTAGTGCTTAAAACAAAAACAAATAAAACATCCTAAAATTTTTTTGAGCAAAGTACCAAGAAGAAAATACATTTTCAATTTTGGACTAGGGGCGACTCTAGTCAAAATCATTTTTGTCACTTTTTTCTTCGAGGGTTTATACAAATGGATTGAAACTTTGCATAAATATTCTGGTGCTTAAAACAAATACAAATAAAACATTATAAATTTTTCTGAACAAAGAACCAAGAAAGAAATACATTTTCAATTTTGGACTAGGGGTGACCCTAGTCAAAATCAATTTTGTCACTTTTTTCTTCGAGGGTTTATCCAAATGGATTGAAAATTTGCATAAATATTCTAGTGCTTAAAAAAAATACAAATAAAACATCCTAAAATTTTTTTGAGCAAAGTACCAAGAAGAAAATACATTTTCAATTTTGGACTAGGGGCGACTCTAGTCAAAATCATTTTTGTCACTTTTTTCTTCGAGGGTTTATACAAATGGATTGAAACTTTGCATAAATATTCTGGTGCTTAAAACAAATACAAATAAAACATTATAAATTTTTCTGAACAAAGAACCAAGAAAGAAATACATTTTCAATTTTGGACTAGGGGCGACCCTAGTCAAAATCAATTTTGTCACTTTTTTCTTCGAGGGTTTATACAAATGGATTGAAACTTTGCATAAATATTTCAGTGCTTAAAACAAATACAAATAAAACATTTTAAAATTTTTTGAGCAAAGAACCAAGTAGGAAATACATTTTCAATTTTGGACTAGGGGCGACCCTAGTCAAAATCAATTTTGTCACTTTTTTCTTCGAGGGTTTTTCCAAATGGATTGAAACTTTGCATAAATATTTTAATGCTTAAAACAAATACAAATAAAACATCCTAAAATTTTTGAGGAAAGAACCAAGTAGGAAATACATTTTCAATTTTGGACTAGGGGCGACCCTTGTCAAAATCAATTTTGTCACTTTTTTCTTCGAGGGTTTATCCAAATGGATTGAAACTTTGCATAAATATTCTAGTGCTTAAAACAAATACAAATAAAACATCCTAAAATTTTTTTGAGCAAAGAACCAAGAAGGAAATACATTTTCAATTTTGGACTAGGGGCGACCCTAGTCAAAATCAAAATCAAACTTTGCATAAATATTCTAGTGCTTAAAACAAATACAAATAAAACATCCTAAAATTTTTTTGAGCAAAGAACCAAGAAGGAAATACATTTTCAATTTTGGACTAGGGGCGACCCTTGTCAAAATCAATTTTGTCACTTTTTTCTTCGAGGGTTTCTACAAATGGATTGTAACTTTGTATAAATATTCAAGTGCTTAAAACAAAAATAAATAAAACATCCTAAAATTTTTTTGAGCAAAGAACCAAGTAGGAAATACATTTTCAATTTTGGACTAGGGGCGACCCTTTGTCAAAATCAATTTTTTCACTTTTTTCTTCGAAAGTTTATCCAAATGGATTAAAACTTTGCACAAATATTCTAGTGCTTAAAACAAATACAAATAAAACATTTTAAAATTTTTTTGAGCAAAGAACCAAGAAGGAAATACATTTTCAATTTTGGACTAGGGGCGACCCTAGTCAAAATCAATTTTGTCACTTTTTTCTTCGAGGGTTTGTCCAAATGTATTGAAACTTTGCATAAATATTTTGAAGCTTAAAACAAATACAAATAAAACATCCTAAAATTTTTTTTGAGCAAAGAACCAAGTAGGAAATACATTTTCAATTTTGGACTAGGGGCGACCCTTTGTCAAAATCAATTTTGTCACTTTTTTCTTCGAGGGTTTATCCAAATGGATTGAAAGTTTGCATAAATATTCTAGTGCTTAAAACAAATACAAATAAAACATCCTAAAATTTTTTTGAGCAAAGAACCAAGAAGGAAATACATTTTCAATTTTGGTCTAGTAGCGACCATTATCAAAATCTAGTTTTTCACTTTTTTTCTTCGAAGGTTTATCCAATTACAGTGAAACTTTGAGTGAGTATACTAATTTTTATACAAAACAGTTTTAAATATCTAAAGGAAGAAATGTATTTTATATGTCGTCAGACCCAAATTTTATAAATTTGGTTTTACATTCAAAAACAAAGTGACTTAAAATTTTGTCCAAAAAATTGATTTTTATTAATTCAGAAATGTGTGACCTGAGGATTAGAATGCTCATACAAAGTTTTACTGTATTTGGATTTATCCTCGAAGGGTAAAAGTGAAAAACGAGATTTTGACTAGACCTGTCCCAAGTTCATAATTAAAAATGTATTTCTACTTAGTTCTTTGCTCAAAAAAATTTTTTGGATGTTTTATTTGTATTTGTTTTAAGCACTAGAATATTTATGCAAAGTTTCAATCCATTTGTATAAACCCTCGAAGAAAAAAGTGACAAAATTGATTTTGACTAGGGTCGCCCCTAGTCCAAAATTGAAAATGTATTTCCTTCTTGGTTTTTTGCTCAAAAAAATTTTAGGATGTTTTATTTGTATTTGTTTTAAGCACTAGAATATTTATGCAAATTTTCAATCCATTTGGATAAACCCTTGAAGAAAAAAGTGACAAAATTGATTTTGACTAGGGTCGCCCCTAGTCCAAAATTGAAAATGTATTTCCTACTTGGTTCTTTGCTCAAAAAATTTTAAGATGTTTTATTTGTATTTGTTTTAAGCACTAGAATATTTATGCAAAGTTTTAATCCATTTGTATAAACCCTCGAAGAAAAAAGTGACAAAAATGATTTTGACTAGGGTCGCCCCTAGTCCAAAATTGAAAATGTATTTTCTTCTTGGTACTTTGCTCAAAAAAATTTTAGGATGTTTTATTTGTTTTTGTTCTAAGCACTAAAATATTTATACAAAGTTTCAATCCATTTGTATAAACCCTCAAAGAAAAAAGTGACAAATTGATTTTGACAAGGGTCGCCCCTAGTCCAAAACTGAAAATGTATTTCCTTCTTGGTTCTTTGCTCAAAAAATTTTAGGATGTTTTATTTGTATTTGTTTTAAGCACTAGAATATTTATGCAAAGTTTCAATCCATTTGGATAAACCCTCGAAGAAAAAAGTGACAAAATTGATTTTGACCAGGGTCGCCCCTAGTCCAAAATTGAAAATGTATTTCCTTCTTGGTTCTTTTTTCAAAAAAATTTTAAAATGTTTTATTTGTATTTGTTTTAAGCACTAGAATATTTATGCAAAGTTTCAATCCATTTGTATAAACCCTCGAAGAAAAAAGTGACAAAAATGATTTTGACTAGGGTCGCCCCTAGTCCAAAATTGAAAATGTATTTTCTTCTTGGTACTTTGCACAAAAAAATTTTAGGATGTTTTATTTGTATTTTTTTTAAGCACTAGAATATTTATGCAAAGTTTCAATCCATTTGGATAAACCCTCGAAGAAAAAAGTGACAAAATTGATTTTGACCAGGGTCGCCCCTAGTCCAAAATTGAAAATGTATTTCCTTCTTGGTTCTTTGCTCAAAAAAATTTTAGGATGTTTTATTTGTATTTGTTTTAAGCATTAGAATATTTATGCAAAGTTTCAATCCATTTGGATAAACCCTCGAAGAAAAAAGTGACAAAATTGATTTTGACCAGGGTCGCCCCTAGTCCAAAATTGAAAATGTATTTCTTTCTTGGTTCTTTGCTCAAAAAAATTTTAGGATGTTTTATTTGTATTTGTTTTTAACACTAGATCATTTATGCAAAGTTTCAATCCATTTGGATAAACCCTCGAAGAAAAAAGTGACAAAATTGATTTTGACAAGGGTCGCCCCTAGTCCAAAATTGAAAATGTATATTCTTCTTGGTACTTTGCTCAAAAAAATTTTAGGATGTTTTATTTGTTTTTGTTTTAAGCACTAAAATATTTATACAAAGTTACAATCCATTTGTATAAACCCTCGAAGAAAAAAGTGACAAAATTGATTTTAACAAGGGTCGCCCCTAGTCCAAAATTGAAAATGTATTTCCTTCTTGGTTCTTTGCTCAAAAAAATTTTAGGATGTTTTATTTGTATTTGT